ATGAAACTTACTTTTGGGAATAGCAAGAAACCCAATGATACTTACTGCGTCACGATGAGCTCGTCGGACATTGTTGCGAACATTGCCGATAGACGCATAGAGTGGGTAATATTCGTTGTTTCCCGTTGCGACAGATACGGTAGTCTTGTCGCTGCCCAAAATAACAGGTACGAACGTGGATCCATGTGATTCCGGATCCTCTGAGATTATGTCCTGGAAACAATTGTTAATGATAAGTTGCAATACGTTAATAGCTAATGATTAGTTGCAATACATTGATAGCTAATGATAAGTTGCAATACGTTGATAGTTGCAAAACGTTGATAGTTGCAAAACGTTGATAGACTCACCGCCTGATCCCATACCCAATCACCGGACATGAAATCCCTCCACTGACGCTCATCACCATCGGTCAAGAATTCGCGGTAGGGTCGGTAATCGAACTCTTCGATATAGTCTGGATTCGCAAGCATATTGCGAACAACTTCTCGTGGATCACGGTACCAGACGTCAAAGTCTTGGTCCATCCACGGCGGCACATCAGCGGCTGGTCGTTCACCATTGTATCGAACTGAAAACGATTGCCATTTGACATCACCGAGTGGTGTTTTGTCAATGGTTTTATGAAGGTCGCGGAAATCTGCAAATGGAGGCTTATCGCCGTGTTTCTGGAGGGTTGAAGCCCAGAGATCGAGTAGCTTATTGATCTGGGCTGCAGGTGTCTGATTCTCGGTGAAAAAAAATTCCGCGGTTTCAAACTCGATACGGTTTCGGTAAGGCGTCCAGTCGTCAGGAGATTTATCAGAGAGTGGCTTTGGTGGGCTTCCAGGGGGAAGAAATGTGCCGTTCTCGTCACATGGACGAGCTAGAAAATATACGGTGAAATATGGTTAGAAAGTTGTTCTAATAGCAAAGTAAAGTATTACCGTCGAGGTCCTTGTGAAAGTTCCGATATAGACGGTCTCCTGGCCCCCAGAACTCAACGTTGATGCTGGGAGCTGGTGAGTCCCGTGTCCCATCGTGATCCGTCATATTCGGGTCATCATGTTCGGCTTCTTGAAAGTCAAATTGTGCCTCAGGCTGCTCAGGTGCCGGAGGGTGCTCTTCCAGCTCTTCAGAAACACTGGGATGATAAGCATTAGCTGCCCTTGCAATTGTAGGATGCGCTGCGTTCCAATGTTTCGTTCGTCCCGCTTGAGTTTTGAAATAACGCCGACAATTTGAGCGTCCGCAAGGAAGTTGCAGTGCGTTGTGATCCCGTCGAGAGTTCTGGTTCCTTTAGACAATATTAGCCAGTGAGGAGCGTGAAAAAATGGAGTATGTACATAGTTTATACTTAGCGTTAAGAAAACAAACTTTCGGTTGAAAGCAAACCGAGCTGCCAGCCTAGTAAGTGTTGGGGTCGTAATCAGTATGCGTTGTCCATGTTTGGGATCAGGGTAGCGCACTTAAAAGTTTTCACTTAGCTTAGACCGTCTCTTGTTGCTCCCTGCTACCCGCAAATTCCTGTTCACCTCTCTTGCAGCTTCTTACGTGCAACTTTCACCTCAACATGCCTGCTCAACGTGCCGCTACCACTCCGACTCGTCGTACTCGTGCGTCTAACGCAACTGCGCATCCAGGTGCCATCCTCTTACAGGCAAAAAAACCCCGACGCACGACAGAAGAAGTTGCAGCTGCCCGAGAAGAAAAGGCGGGCAAAGGTAGCAGCACAAGCAGCTGCTGCTGAGGCAGGTGCTAAGCGTGTGGCCGGTATAGAGCTGGAGATGGAAGCGAAACAGACGAATGTGCTGACGAGGAAGGTCAAGGGAGTCCGCCCTCGTCCGACGCCTTACAAAGGCAAGAAGGCTGCAAAGGACAGCCCAGATATTGCAGCAGCCTGTGGTGGAGGTGATGATGAAGTCGGAACCAATCAAGGGTTGGGAGTACTCACTCAGAAGGCTGATGTGCCAATGGATATCGACAACGACGCTGTCGATCAAGACTCACACACTAAGAGTGGTACGATCAAGAAGAAGGTTATCAAAGCTTCGATGAAGGATGCTGTCAATCAAGCGCGTAATGAAATCAAGCGGAACACTGCTGATTGCGGAGATAAGGCAGCACGTGTGGATAAGAAAGGCAATGTACTTGATGCGTAAGTCTCTACTTCACACTCATCATGCTTCTACTCACGGAGTCAACCATGTTCTTCCTCAATTTAACTCTGAACCGCAGGAAACAGCCTGAATTGGCTCTCACCAACAAAGTGAAGAACTGGGCTTCAGGCGTCAAGACGCCCATCAAATCTCAGCACGCGAGTCACGCAACTCATACTTCGGCATCACCTCCCCCGTCAACAATTTTTTCTCGCCTTACAGGCTCTTCCATTACCTCTCACAGCACAACTCTGACTGATGCTTCTAAATGTCCTCCTCAATGTATTGGTGCAGCTGAGGATGCGCTCACTGGAGGTTTTGCCGACGATGAGGATGAAGATGACGAATTAGAACGCCTGGCTGCGCATGGGATAACTGCCAAGGAAGGGAGGTCAGCTGCAGCGGTAACTGTTCACTGATCTCCCACCAGAAATTTCCACTGATAATGTTCAAAGATGACGGTTACTCTCACAGTCGATGACTCCGATGACGAGTCAGGGATTCCAGCAGAGTTCCGTGCTCCATTCACCCAGTTGTCGCCATTAGGTCCGACCAGGGTTGCCGACACCAGCAACGTCCTCAAAAGGAAGGCTTCTGAAGTCCTCGATCTTATCTCTGGCAGTGAAATTGATGAGTTTTCGGACGACGAAAGTGAGTCAGCGCTGTTTGCTGATGCCAACACCCTGAAACTCACTGCACCTCTAGTCAACAATACAATGGACATCGACCTACCGGACGAGATCGATCAGAAGCATGAAGCGGAGCCCGAGAAGCCCAAAGTGAAGCTAGAGAAGCCTTCCCGCACTACGACTTCGGTGAGCATCCAACCGTTTGGTTAACTAGTCCTTCCTGACACAAGTTTTTCATTAGACAACGGTCATGACCACAGACGTCAAACCTTTGCCAACTAAAAAGGTGAAAGTGGAACCATCTTCGACATCTATCAGTGATGCTCCCGCCCCCAAGGAACAGAAATCTGTCAATGTCGACACACCGCACAACGAGCTGAAGCCCCGAGCGCAATACCGAAGCTGCGACCTCCCTGAACAAGTGCAAGCAGACAACCGCTGGGCCAAAAAGTTCCTTCCGACGATGATATTGTGGGCTGGCAGCCAAGAATCCCTCTGGACAATCCCAGATGTGACTCTGCTCACACACATTCAAATCATTTTTCAGGCAATCTACCCAGACTTGAAACTTACCATTGTTCTGAATGGTGCCGTTTTTTCGCTCGTAGGTGCTTCTTGCTCCAGATGTCAAAAACATTTTCTCACTGTATCGACTCCATACTCAGACTGTTCAACGTCTTTCTGAGTGGCGGAGCAACTTTGGCTCTACAGCCATTGTGCTTATCTACGATTTTCTGATGAGCAACAGCGACTGCGACCCAGAGGTTCTTGCAGGGCTCCTTTTGAAGAATTATGCCTTCATCTTTGAGGATATGGACAAGCGTGACCCCGACGGTGCATTCCACTCTGTATTCATCCTGCAGCTCCTTGGAAAGGCTCACCTCAATGTCGTCGACGGTCACGCTAATATTCCCGCATTGAAAACCAAAGACCTCGCATCGAAAGGGATGGCCGGTGTTATTGGATTTTGCGCTACAGCAGTAAGTCTATTTTCTTATCATCAATGATCCCTCTCGATGAATTCGCATAGCTTGAGCGCGCCGTCACATTAATTTCGGACGGTGATATCAAAGTCGAGGATATCTTAGCGTCGACCACATCTCGCGGCAAGGTGGTCATCAAGCTGCCCAAAGTACTCAACAAGCTCACTGGCAAGGAGACCAGCGCTCCGTATATGTTTTCGCGTGATCTCTGGCATAAAGCGAACACTGGGTACATGAAGAGCATCAAGAAGAAGAGCAAGGACTTCGTTGAAACTACAGTAGAGATGGCGCGGTCAGCTTTGAACGAAAGCACCGCTGCGGATGCAGCCATTTCGCACAGCTCTGATGATGACCGTGCCTTTTTGTGTATGTATAATCTTTCCCTCTTGTGCATCGTTCTCTGCTTTATTTATTTGTCGTGTTCACCATGCTGATTTTGTGGATTTGACAGAGCCATCCGCTGCCCCATGGGCCTTCACGAATCAGCACCATCCTCAACCTGCTATCATTGTTCATATGCTCCTCTGGTACCATTTTCTACTGCTCTCCGACTACTACACGCATAAGCTACCATTGATTTTCGCTGTTTTATCTTCCCTTAGTGATCCACTTAATTGCTTTCGCGTCGTGCTTTTCTGAATGGACAATGCCCTTTTTTCTGCTTTATTTGTGATATGAAAGTAAACTAAGTTCGAAATAAGTGAAAATTCAGACGATGAGTGGCCTTTTTCAACCTGGCGGTCACTTATTTCAGCCTTTGCTTATTTCGCCTTATTGTGTGTGAAAAGTTGACAATAAGTCAGAGTAAGTAACTTGTCGTTTTCCTGATGCACGCCGGCGCTGTCGATATCCTAGAAGAATCAGTAGAAGCACCCAACACAACACGAAAACCCACGAAAACATCAAACAAACAGATAAAACCCCGCGAGTCCATATATTTCAACCTACATCTACTGACCCTTCTCATCGCAGCTTTCCTTTTGTGCTTACTGTGTTGTCCCACCAGACGATACGGGGAGTACGAGTCCGAATCACGCCACATCAGAGGATATCATTAATATACATACGAAAAAGGTGCAAATGACGAAAAATGTCCAACATAGGGTCTACGACCCCAAAGGACTCAATCTGATGCAAAAAAAAAAAAAAAAAAAAAAAACATAACATCATCGCAGCGCGCGTCTTCAGTCTCCCGTTGCTTTGTTACACTACATATATATTACTTTACTACGACATGCATAATATAGCAAGACAGTCATTTTATCTAACACATTTACATCATCCGAGTCAGTATATACTGTCATTGCGCGATTCCTGGATCCATCATGCCACGAGGCGATGCCGTATCAACAAAGTTTGCTTCTCGGAGCATGTTCTGCAGCATGGCTTCAAGTTGCCAGGCGGCTGCCTACTGAGTGGCTTGCATCAGCTTGGAAACTGACCAGGTTCACGTCCTATCCTATTACCTGCCGCAAAGTAGCCCTACCCATGACTGAACCCGCACCTGAAAAGTGAGTCATGACTCATTTGAGTCGTCTCCCATAATGTCCCTGGACCCTTCCTCATATTTTGCAGCAATAGCCCTATTGACTTCACATCTCAAATTTCTGAGCTTGGACATCCATGTACATCTGGTTCATTTGGCGTGGTTTATCGGCACACCATCAAGACCAGCGAAGGCACAGTAGAGGTTTGTCTTACCAACTTGTCTGAGCCCATCAATCATCTATTCAATATCCATCAGGTCGCAGTGAAAGTGTTCAAGATTGATCCTGAGAGAGACATGAAGAAACATGAGAAGGTCAGTCATCTAGAGATGATTCAAATCCCACTTATCTCGATAATCTATATAGGCAATGCGTCGGGAACTCAAGGTGTGGTTTAGACTGTCAAAACACCTAAATATCGTGCCGCTAGTTGGTTACGCACACGTCGAGTCTCCGAGTCCATTGCTGGCCCTCATTTCGCAATGGATGCCCCTTGGGACATTATCTGTGTACATCGAGGGAGGTGGAATTACCGCTTCCGCTAAAGCTGAATTGGTGAGTCCCTCGTTCATAAGAATCACATTCGCCAGGGATTTAGGGATTTTATTCTATAAGGTCATGGGCGTCGCTGATGGCTTGAATCACCGTTCGTCGATGCTTGTCAAGTCGTTATTCTTGTTCATGATGTCTACCCAGTGCACTCGGAGAATGTCATTCACGGAGACCTTCACCCCGTATGTATGCTCGTTTTTGTGGATGTTGCACTCATCCAAAAGCCTAAGGGGAATGTGCTCATAGACGGCTCGGGGAATCCACGTCTCACAGATTTCGGTCTCGCAACAGTCGTAGGTGACTCAGAGTTACAGCCGTCCACGACCACTGCGAACCGCCAGTTCAACCCTCGATGGCGTGCGCCTGAAGTCATCGGAGTCGTCGGTGAGCCTGAAAGACCGACTTTTAAGAGTGATATCTACTCTTTTGGTGCTGTTATGTTATTTGTGCGATCTCTGTCTTTGCTGCAGCTCTATCCTAAGTTTTCCTTCTCAGATTGTTTCGGGGGATATACCATGGAAAGAGAAGAACTCTGCTCGAATCTGCATCGCGCTATCGAAAAAAGCCGCACATGCACGTCCCACCAACATCCTTGACGATCACTGGAAACTCGTTCAAAAATGCTGGGTTTGGAACCCGCAGGCCCGCCCAGGGGCAGCGGAGGCCGTTAGATACATGAACGATCACTTGAAATCTATTCAAAAATTGGACCTGCATGATTGTACAGGAGAACTGAAATCCACGAGATCTGGTGCAACGAAGAACATTGTTATTTTTGGAGAGACTGGCGTCGGGAAAAGCTCCATCATCAACCTCCTAGCAGGGCGCCAGCTTGCTAAACCCTCTCCAGACGCCAAACATTGTCTATTGTCCTATCGAGCGTATGATGTTCCCATCAACGGCGCATTGTATCGCATCTATACTACTGCCGGGGTCGACGGCAACCGCATGGACCCTAGCGGATTTCTCGACGCTGTCACGAATTCCGACAAGTTGATGAAGGAGCTGAAAGATAGAGGAGGAGTCCACCTGCTGCTGTACTGCATCAAGGGGGGCAGGATACCATCAACGTTAGTCACCAACTACAGGCTATTCTATGAATTTTTCTTCGAGGAGAAGATACCAGTTGCGCTCATCGTTACTCACCTGGAGGGGGAGGATCACATGGACGATTGGTATACACGAAACAAGGGATCGTTGGACCGCCATGCAATAAAGTGTGTTGATCATGCTTGTATCACTGCGGCGGCAAATCTGGACCCGAAATATAGGAAGAAGTACGACGCATCCAAGGAAGAAGTGCGCAAATTGATCACACGGCATGAGGACACGGTGGTGGACTGGAATGGAGGGTATGGGTGGTTTGTCAGGTTCGTGGGAAAGTTTAAAGACACATTAATGGGGCGTCCAAGCAAGTCAGACATTCTTGGTGTCCTCACGAAGCGTTGTGGGATGGAGGAGAGCCTAGCAAAAGAAGTGATTCAAAAATTAACTACTACCGGATGACAGGACTTTCGCTATGTTTACTCATTACGATAGCTAGGGGATGTATACCAGCTGTAAACTACAGTAATGGCCAGCGGCCTCAGCCTGCAGCAAGGAAGCCAGCTGGCTACGATGACGATCCTAAGCTAACTAGAACATGCATGATACCTACATCGACAATAATGACAAAAGGTTTGTAATGCAGCAACAGAAGACTTACCAAGCCATTGACAAGGTTTTTGAACATTGTTGCAACGTTAATGCGCTGACGTGGTACTAGTAACATTGAATGTCAAAACGTTCGACGACGACGTATGACATGATGTAGTCCACGTACTGACTAAACCGTGGAAAGGGAAACCCCGAATGGCCAGTCCTTGCCCTTGGGACCCCTAGTGTATCGCTATACCAGTTCATCGACAACACGAACAATGTCTATGATCATGTCACCGATTCATGTGCTTAAGCAGCGAGAAGCTTGAGATAGATGGAGGAGGTGAGGCATGGTTCGAACTGGCAGGTGCCTGGCCTTGAGGTCCAATTGCTCCAGAAGCCTCGGAAATGTATGGACATAGAGTATCCCCGTCTGGAAGCAAGGGAGGTTCAACGTGCAAGATCTTGCTGGCTCCGTTCAGTAAAGATCCTAGGGAGAAGTAGCATTCCTCATTCACTCCGCTTGGCTTCTGAGGTGATACAGGGAACAGAAATTCTCCGTCCCGCCATCCGCTTGAGCCCAATATCAGATTGCGAGATACGCAGCGCTAGAAAAGGGCGAGTTGTGAGAGAAGAGGCTACTTTTCTCCCATAGCATGATGTCAAATGAGCCAAGCGCTGGGGCATAAATTCTGCGACGACGAGAGAGTGAGGCATTCAATGGTACTGCTCAGGCTCACTCAGGGGATCATGATAGATCGGTTTTTTCCGAGTCATTACAGCGCACCTTCCTTTTTAGGGTTTCATCAATATTCACCTAAAGCTTGCTTTAGCTTGAAAGCTTGACTCCGAACACACCATACTGTAACAACGGCCCAGCTCTTACTACAAAATATGGTCAAGGCTTTGATTCTCATCGCAGATGGAACGGAAGAAATGGAGTTGTAAGACACAATCATCCCCTAATTAAAGCACTAATGATCACTCACTCGGGTATTAGTACGATCACATACGATACGCTCGTCCGCGCTGGGATAGAATGCACATCCGCATTTATCCCCAGGGGTCTCTCACCATACGGATCTTCTGATACAAGTCCTCCGCTTGCAGTTTGCTCGAGGCAAGTGAAGATCCTTCCTGATGTCACTCTGGACCCCCTTGATGCCGGTCCGGTGGGTACTTTCCACTTTTTGAAGCGTGTCCAAGGCAAAGCTTATAGTATCTTGCTTCTTCAGGAGAAGTACGATGCCCTCATCATCCCTGGTGGCATGGGTGGTGCCGTGACAATGGCAGGATCGACAGAGGTGCAAAACCTGGTTCGTTCTTACTACAACCACCCAGAGAAACGAATCATTGGCATGATATGCGCAGGTATAACATATTTCGATCGTATTCGTGATTTATGGAATGTATGTTTGTTTTGCAAGGTTCCAAGGTCGCGATCACAGCGAAGCTTCCTGGTCAACCGATCACGTCGCACCCATCTGTTCAGAACGAGTTCCCAGACCGTAAGTCGCGGCAAAGTTGACGAGGATCATTGGTGTAGCTTCTTTGTTGCGCACTGCACTAGATTTTGACTACAAGGAGGAATGTGTAGTCGTGTCAGATGCCCTCCCAGACAAGGCGACGCTCGTCACAAGGTGAGTCAATATTGTGATTCGTTAGCTGTTGACCCTGTTGACCTTGATCTCCAGCCGCGGACCAGGTGAGTTGCAGGGTTTCACTACATGTCTTTATTGCCTCTTCACGGTCACTGAATAGGAACTGCGTTCCCCTTCACATTCACGCTGATCGAGCTCTTGTGCGGGAAGGCAAAACGCGACGAAGTCGTAGGACCTATGATGTTCCCATCCGGCACTGGGTATCCGTTCTGAGTGGAGTCGACGGGTCAAACGCGGTGGTGCAACTTTCTATGCTGAACAGGAAGCCATCCTATGAGCTGCCATGTAAGGGTTTGACCACTTCAATGTATGAGCTGTTGAAGGATGTGGAAAAGTTTGTGTCAAAACGTTAGAGCTAGTTCGGAAACCCGATGCTGGCTGGGTGAACATCGGACATTGCCAGGGCGTGCGAGCGACAAAGGGCTATATGGTGTATAAAGGTTGAATAGGTAGTAACGAGTGAGCTATCAACTTGGAAGTCTTGGAAGGTATCAAAGGTTGCGAACGAGTGTATTAGGTCATGTGATCATGAGACGGTTACGGTTGCACATATGTACCTTCGGAAATATAAAATCGATTCTACTTTCGCCTTATGCATTTGCTAAATGGTTTCGCTGATCAGTGTCTAACTAAGCTTGACATTACGTCCACTTCTCTAGCACAGGCCCTAGTCAGTCATCTTTTGGTCTCAGCGCTTATAGTGTAATCATATACCGGCGCCTATCGTGTCGAACGGCGCTCAACAACATGGAAATACACGTGCAGCCATCATCTAAACCCTCTTCTCCTCTCCCTCTCAGTCGAACTCCATCCACGGTCCCCATATCCCTGCCCCAATCTTCTCCTACCGCTCCTACCAATCACCACTAAGCCCATCCTCGATCTTCGTTGTTTGCTTCATCGTACCATCATGCCGGGTAGCTTGACAAGCCAATTTATCAGACTTGAGGGCAGGTCACTCCATATAACATTCGTATCTGTTTTGTGATCCTCACGCTCTATCTACAGTCATCAGTGCAAAAAGACTCAAAGTCCCCTCCAGGCGCATTCCCGCTGGTATTTTCATATCCATCAATGTCGACTCGAGGAGACGCTGGAAATCAGCCATCAGAGTCTTATCATCCGATGAATCTGTAGCGTGGGGAGATACTGTGACCCTGTAAAGTTCATGGAAGCTTTCGGACGCGATTCTAGAACTCATCTTCTGTACTGGTAGTTCATTAGATGCGTCACCCAAATTATCAGTGGAGATTAGAGCAACCTTTGAGCTCGACCGAATGCTGGGAAATGGTGAAATCGTCGGAAAACGTCAAACATCGTGGCATGGGCTACTCAATCGCGGATGTGAGATATTCGGTAAGTAATTCACTTCTCATTCATGCACATCTACTTACATCCCGTAGAACTGTCCTTCCCACCCGTTCGTGGTGTCCGTCCTTCCCTTACGCTGAAGGCCACTCTTGTACATTCTTGCAACAATCGGGACGGTACATTGTTTGATGTGAGTCACACTGGGCCTCTGCTGTTAGCTGTTTCTGACTGAACGCCAACTGTAGTCCATCGGCGACTGCAAGATTGCTCGGGACACAGATGCAGGCCACGCACGACTCGCCGAATACGTGTCACAGAGATGGAAGAGAGTATCTCACCTGAAAGATATTGTGCAGCATTTTAAATTGGTTGTGGACCAGTGTCCGGTCGACCATCCTGACCACGCAGCAGCTCTCACCAACCTTGCATGGGCCCGCCTTCGGGGTTATATTCAAAACGATCTTCAAGACATTGATACCACCACTTCCCTCTTCCGCGAAGCCCTTGCATTGCGTCCGCAGAGCCACCCAGATCACGCATTATCTGTCTATCATCTCATTTTTGCATTGAACTGGCGCTATAGAAAGGAGGACACCACCGTCGCCATCCAAGAATCCGTGCAACTATGCTGCAAGCTACTGCCCCTCTGTCCACAGGGCACTTACCTGCGTAGCACCGGCATAGACAGTGAGGTAGATTATGTGATCGACGAATGCAACAATCTTCCGAACGATGCATCAGCTGAAGGCATCCACCTTCGACGAGTCGTGCTTGAGCTCGGTCCTCTGGGCCATCAACGCCATCCCATTACCCTCGCCAATCTGGTAATCGCACTTAAATTACACTTTCACGCACACGGCAACATTGATGATCTAGAAGAGAGCATACAACATGGTCGTGAAGCTATTTCTCTGTGCCCAGAGGATCATCCTAATCATAGTGCCTCTCTGCATAACTTGGCAAGCTTACTCCAGTGCCGCTTTGATCACCAAGGCAAACCACATGACCTCGACGAGGCTATCTCCATGCATGAAGAAGTGCTGCTCCTGAACCCTATCTGGCTTAGAGGGAGCAATTCCATTCTGGACTCCCTAGGGTGCGCCCTCAACACCCGTTTCCAGAATTACGGTGACGTTGATGACATCAACCGAGCTGTCAGCCTCCATCGCGAGGCACTGGCGTTGACCCCACCTGGACATCCATTTCATGACACCATGCTTAACAACCTTGCCCTCGCGCTCGCAATCAGATATAATTTGCGCGTCATCGAGGATCTTGATGAGGCCATTGATCTATATCGCGAATGCCTTCGGTTAAAACAGGTTCATGATCCAACGTACCCTACAAATCTTTACAATTTGAGCTACGCGCTCTGCGTTCGTTTCACGCGAACTGGGAACATTGAAAATGTCGAGGAGGCCATTCGGCTCTGCCAAGAGTCATTGGTAGCTCTGCCTTTACTGCACCCGGGTAGGTATTACAGCTATCAGTGGCTGCAGGAAGGCTATTTGTCTCGTTTCCGAGTACACCACAACCCCGCTGATCTATCACTTGCGGTGGAGAACTGCAGACTGGCATCGAAGCACCCTACTCAAGGCTTTACGCATCGTATTGCAACTGCCTTGGACTGGGTTATTCATGCTGAAGATCATCAACACGACTCTGCCCTCGAAGCATACCAAATATGCTTGGAGCTGTTCGACAACCACGTAATGACGCGATCATCGATCATCTCACGGCGCGAGGCTGCAACCGCTTTCTGCTGTGCGCAGTCACTCCCAGTAGATGCAGCATCATGTGCTGTTCGTTCCAATGACCTGCAACGAGCGGTCGAACTCTTGGAGCAGGGTCGTGGCCAGCAATGGTCACTGGCCTCTCGACTCAGAACTCCGCTGGAAGACCTGGAGTCTGCGAGTCCGCAACTAGCTCAAAGACTCGCGGAGCTCAGCAAGGGCCTGTCTGATGCTCAGGGTTCCGCCGGCAGCACTGACAGAGCTGCTGCTGATTGGGCAGCAACCGAATACAGGAGGCTTGCAAGGCAATGGGAAGCTGCAGTGGCTGAAATCCGTGATATTCAAGGTTTCTCGCGATTCCTGCTCCCGCCGTCGTATACAGAGTTGCAAGCGGCAGCACGCCATGGTCCAGTAATCATTCTCATTGCGAGTCAATACTCATGCAATGCCATTATTGTCCCAGCGTCAGGAGAACCCCATCATATTCCCTTATCGTCTATCACTCTCGCAGATCTGGATGATCTCAAAGGTCGATTCACCAGGGCGATACAGCAAGCATCTCATATGGGCCTAACGGAATCAAGGACGGACCTGATAGTCCTCTTGCGGATAGTATGGGATGAGATAATGGTACACATCGTCAACGTACTTGAGCATGTCCTCAAATTACAGCGCGGGTCTCGAATCTGGCTGTGTCCAACTGCAGCTTTCACATCCATTCCTCTCCACGCAGCTCACCCCTTTCAAATGAAGGCAGACCGCTCTGGGAAGCAGCCATGCCTGGAGGATCTCTACATATGCTCTTACACGCCGACACTTTCGGCGCTGATCAGATCCAGACATATGATGAAGAATCGTGTGCCTCCGTCCTTCGTGGCAATCGGACAGGGTCAACCACGTGCAGGGAAAGGCAAGGCGCTCTTAGCTGTCGACAGCGAGCTCGAGCTTGTCCATAAGCTTGTCCCCGCGACGGCTAACCGTTCCACTCTATCTGGCCACGGAGCTACACGAGCAGGTGCACTAGATGCTTTGGAACAGAACTCATGGGTGCACCTCGCTTGTCACGGCAAGCAGGACCACAACCAGCCTTATAATTCCCATTTCGTCATGAAGGATGAACCTCTCACGTTGCTCGACATCATGGAGAAAGATATTCCACATGCTGAGTTCGCGTTCTTGTCGGCGTGTCATACCGCCGCCGGCGATAAGGAGACACCCGACGAAGTCATTCATCTCGCAGCTGGACTTCAGTTTTCGGGGTTCAAGAGCGTCGTTGGCACGCTGTGGGAGGTCGACGACGCTGTTGCAAAACATGTTGTTGAAGCTTTCTACAAGAATATGGTCAAGAATTTGAAGGATGGCAGCTTCATGGATTGTACGAAGGCGGCTTGGGCACTCAACCGTGCTACGCACGCCGTGATGACGAAAGTGCCGCTCGAGCAGAGGATGGTGTTTATTCATATCGGTGTGTAGTTCTACGTCGTATTTCTTCGTCTGTTACATATTCGCAAGTTGTTTATCTGTGATCCTCTTTCACCCTAAATTTTCAGACACTACCCTGATACTCTTGCGCTCGTGTTATCTCGCTTTTGTATTCTCTCGTGTTATTGTTCACTAAAATCTTTAATGTCCCTGAGTATTTGAATAGCTTGCAGCCTCGTATTCTGCTTGAGTACATCATGATAGTAAGAGCCGACTCACACCTTCCAGTCACACCATTCTTCAAGCAAGGCCTTCTGCACCATAGAACTTGACATGCGCACTCATCGAAGTTGGTAGCTTCGTCGATCCCGGATGGGTGCCTTGACTTGTGACCCATCTATGCACCACTTACATTCGCTTTGACGCTATCGCCAGTCTGCCAATGAGATATGCACTTATATGGCTGACATTGCAACATTCATCTCCTATGGTGAGTACTCATGATCAATTATTGATTGCTCGTACTGTGCAAAAGCACAAGGGCTCGACACTCTCATGGTACCTCCTCAGGCCTCAAGCCTACCTCTCGTTAATGTTACAAGGAGGTGCTTATTTTTCTCTGTGATGGACGCATTCATTCACTGGTGCCTATCACTGCTATCAGGCTTTCCAGCGCATCTCGCGGTCATTGCGCGTGCAGAAATTGCAGCTGGATGTGGGAATGGTGCGTGTGCTATTCAGCATGGAAACAAATGAGGCGAACATTAGTGAAGGCTACCCTACTTTCTGGCGCCGTTCGCCAACCTTGATACTTGAAAGCCACTGAAACGCATCCATACTTGCAGCTCTGCCATAACGTGCATAACCACATGTCATCGTCATCATTGTGGGCACCCCAAAGATATGTTGAAACTGCAGCTTTAGCATAATGCCGGGAATATCGAGCGTGGCTAACCCAGGAATGTCCAGAGGGAAGCAGTGCACCACGGGCCCGTGCTGCAAATCCGTGGTGTGGTTGGAGGACGAGATTATGATCTTTGCCTCTACTCGCAAACAGGCCCGTAAGTGTGGTTGTTGGTACCCAAGGGGGAAGAAGTGCAGTCGCTCTCACTTCAGCCAAAATTCCGCGAGGCCCAATAGGTGCTGATAGAAGTGACGGGTGGCATCAGATGCTGTTGGTGGATGACGGAAAGACTCGTCTGTAAAAAAACGTGAGCATTGCAAATGAGGGCATTTAGGCGCTTGAGTGCTAGCCGTATGGCCGACTTTCTGTGATAAGGAAGATGCGATCCACTGAATGTAGGGGCAAAGGTACACGGCGGATAGTTGCGTACCTCCATAGTTTCAGCATTAACCGGCCGTAATCTGAGAGTTCTGTCCTTGGACCATGTGATGAGCTGGTACTCTCCTCCCTCTGTTGCCATCAAATTACACGACGGTTGACTTCTGGAGTGCGCGCGCTCACTTAATACTCTCATCCTCCACACGAATTCCTTCACCAGATCTGTGTGTCCCTCAAACACTTCTGCGGTGGGTTGGTTGAGGCGAATCCGGCGATGGCGCCTTCTCCTTGTCTGGTACAAGTCTAATACTATTCGGCCTACAAACGAAGACATTTTGGGGCGGAAGGAAGTGGACAGAGCCGGTGCTACGGGGGCACCTGATGAAAATTGGGGCATGCGCGGGCGGTCAGGACCAACAGGGCTCGTTGTGGATGCAGGGGATGGAACATGTCGATACGTGGATGTTGAATGCAGGCAAGGGAGTGTGCCTACATGTGCGAAACACAAGGAGAACGCGAGATCAGCAATGTCGAGAGAGGAAATGATCTTCGGACATACCTAAAGGCTAGACTACCTTGACAAGGTCGGTAATGGGGATAAACGAGGGTGCGGGTATTGGACGATACATTGGGATGAGATACAGAGTCTGGTGTAGGTGGCAGGTATGACTAGAACCAGTTCACGGTGCCATAGCCTCCAAGATATATTCTCAAGCCTTCGGCCATCCTGAAATGACTCTCTGCACTTTGTGAAAACTAGAAAGAGACAGTATATTAAGAAGTGACTGTGAACTGAGAAGGCACGTAGGACTTACGATTTCAGAGAGCGGTGAGGACATCAAGATACTTCACTGCATCGGATGTGACAGCGAGGGCAGGTAGAGGACAGGTTGTGAGTATGGAGATGGGGTGAAGTCAAGGATACAAGTACTAAAAGTTTACGTAGTCGAGCGTTGACGTTGAGGCCGAATTCTCGCTTCAAATCTCTCCGCGAATTTTGTTTGATTTTCGCATGCGAGCTCTCTTGCGCTCTGTGCAGCGAATTCCCTGTAGAATAAAAGCTGTCCGAGGTGACTTGCTTCTGACTCGGATCACGTATGATCCCAATCTTATCGAGTCATACTACCCAAACCGCGCTCAATTGGCCAAAAGGTCCTTAACCACCATTTCTCGAAATTCCACATCTACAACCATGAGCTCTCTGGAATCTATCACCCAGTCTCTTGCTGGTCTATCAATCACTCCGTCCGCCAGCATCACGCATGCTGAAACAAATTCCCCGGCATCATGGCGAGAAACGCTACTTGCGACCTCATCTGCCCCCAAATCATTCGAGCTGATCAAAACCCTCGTCTACAAACCGAAGACTGCAAAATCTGCAATTCCGGTCCCTGTCATCGTCATTGCCCGCGACGAGACCGAGACAAGCTCATCGGCGCTCGGGAAGAAGCTTAACTTGAAGGATCTGAGGTTGGCATCAGAGGATCTACTCGCTGATTTTTTCGCGCTCGATAAGAACTCTTGTACGTTTTTCCCCCTTATGACGCGGCGTAACCAATCTGATCTACGTGGACCATCAGTGTCGCTGCTTTCATTGACCAGCGAGACGTTCCCAAAAGTTGTCACTGTGATCGATGCGTCGATCACGTCCTCCTCATCAACGTTCGCGTTGCACGCACTGTCCTCGAGCGCAACTATCTTTCTGTCCGGACAGGATATCCTGTCTTACCTCCAAAAACTCGAGACCGACGACTTGAAAGTCCAAGAAATCGACTTCACTTCCCTAAAGTCTGACGTCGCCGCGGCTCCTTCAAAACCTGCTGCAAAAGAGAAAGAGGTCGCGAAAATCGATGGCGCCGTTCAGATTGCCATCGGAGTCAAGAAGGAAGTTGATTTCTCTACGTGGTATCAGAGTGTAGGTTCCTTTATCAGACTTTTCCGATCTAGGACTCACTTGCGTGTTCTAGGTCTTAATAAAAGCAGATATGCTCGAGTACTACAGTGTTAGTGGGTGTTATATATTGAGGCCGTGGTCGTACAGTATCTGGGAGGAGATCCAAGGTGCGCAATCTAGTTTCTCGACTGGTACCGAATACTAAGGTGTATTATAGACTGGTTCAACAAGAAAATCAAGGCAATGGGCGTTCAGAATGTGTACTTCCCTATGCTCGTGTCGCAGAAGGTGCTCGAACGCGAGAAGGATCACATCGAGGGTTTCTCTCCGGAAGTCGCATGGGTCACGAGAGCGTAAGTGCATCAACGAGCTGATAGACTCACATATTAATCATCTGACAGTGGGAGCTCTGATCTGGAGGAGCCGGTAGCCATTCGTCCGACATCTGAGACTGTTATGTATCCCTGTAAGGCCATGTCTCGTCATAGCGAGGGCATCTGACTCATTACTCGTAGACTATGCCAAATGGATCAAGAGTCATCGAGACTTGCCCCTGAAATTGAACCAATGGAACAACGTCGTTCGTTGGGAGTTCAAACATCCGCGTGAGTCCTTGCGCTTTAACACTCCCGGTTTATTGTTTATAGTTTTATCTAGAACCGTTCCTCCGTACTCGCGAGTTCCTGTGGCAAGAGGGCCATACTGCCCACCTTACCAAGGCTGAGGCCGACAAGGAGGTCCGAGAGATCCTCGACTTGTACCGCCGTGTATATGAAGAACTCCTTGCCGTCCCTGTCATTCCTGGCATCAAGTCCGAGAAGGAGAAGTTTGCTGGCGCCCTCTATACTACCACGATCGAAGGCTTTGTTCCTTCCTCGGGCCGTGGTATTCAGGCTGCTACTTCGCACTGCTTGGGTCAGAACTTTTCGCGTCCGGAAATGTTTAACATCGTGGTCGAGGACCCGAACGATCCCTCCGGCCAAGGCAAAACCTTTGCATGGCAAAACTCGTGGGGATTGTCGACGCGGACAATTGGAGTGATGACTATGGTACACGGTGACAACCAAGGCTTGGTTCTTCCTCCGCGAGTCGCATCTATCCAGGCTATCGTCGTTCCGTGTGGTGTCACAGCAAAGACGAGTGACGAAGACAGAGCCAAAATTAACAATGCCTGCGACGACCTCGCAAAATCTCTGATAGATGGGGGTATCCGGGCAAAGGCAGATCTTAGAGAGGGCTATACCCCCGGATATAAATTCAACGACTGGGAACAAAAGGTTCGTTCACGATCGGCTGCCACTGCTCACCTCTGCTGACATGTGCCCCGTTCCCTGATTAGGGTGTCCCGCTTCGTCTGGAGATAGGGCCGAATGACCTCGCGAAGCAGCAGACGCTGACCGTGCGCCGCGATACCGGTGCAAAGATCCCCGTTGCTCTTGCTGACCTTGCCACCACAATCCCGACGATGCTTGAGACTATCCAAAGCGACATGTTCCAGCGTGCTCTCGCTGAGTACAATGCTCACGTAAAAGAAGTCACACGATGGGAGGACTTTGTCCCCACGCTGGACAGCAAGTGCATAGCCGTCATTCCGTGGTGCGAGCGTGAAGCATGTGAGGATGACATCAAGGAGCGAAGCGGTAGAGCGTGAGTGTTTTATGCAGTCTCTGATCCGGACAGCTATGTTTTTTTGATCTCTTGGGAACCTCGGGGATTTACAACGATAACTGACATTATATTTTTGAACAGTGCAGAACCGCAGGACGAGCGCGCCCCGTCAGCCGGAGCCAAATCACTTGCCATTCCGTTCGAACAGGAGCGATGGTCTCCCATCAAGCAGGGTGAAACGAAATGTGTTGCCTGTGGACAGGATGCGAAGCGTTGGACCATGTTTGGGAGATCGTATTAGAAGGCAATTTGAATATATAGGGCTTGTTTTATCGTTGGAGTACATGAGAATGGAATTGCGCGAAGACATTTCTGTGTTCTTTGATTTCTTACAAATGTCAGTTGATCTATACATATTCACAATTGAGTCAGTGATCTGAGCCGGCGGTTACGCTGGACAATCGCTGGTGGTAAACTCGTTTTTACATGCCATTTATCCTTGAGAAATCGGGAAGCAATGACCGGTTTACTAAGTACTTTGCTTCCTATGTCCAAATTTTAAATATACAATTCTTATTTTACATGGGAAGCCAGCACAAGGAATAAAATTTTCAACCTGAGTTCCGAAGTGAGGCCGAGATGTGACTAGATGTGAGTCGTTAGTTTGGAGCCAGCGTGTCTCCCTAGATTTGGGACCAGGGGCACACTTAACTCCATTCCATCAATCCATCAAAACGCGCTAGCTGTTGTACTTTGTTACATTGTTCGGCTCGCCCCGCATTCTCCGCGTTTCATTGCAATATTGCGGGCGAACGGGCGGACTTGATTCGGCCCAGTTTACTTATACAAATGGTTCCGTGATATCGAATGCCCTATGATACATGCCATACGGTGTTGTGGCCAAATCCGTACATTGAGCGCTGGCCTGGTTCTCTGAGTTCACGCTTAATGACAAGTTGCCTTGACAGGTGACTACATGTTTGATGGCGTTAGCATTATTACGGTCTCATGACTCACGTTCCAATTTTTGCCCGTTCAAATTGAGCCCCACAAGATCCATGCGGTCGGTGCCCTGATGCTGCATATAATAACGCAGCCCTGGGTCCCGAAGTACCTCAAGTGATTCCCTTCTTCACTTGTCCACACCCCCATCCGTCACTATGGGCAAAGGTGTAAGTTGCACTTTGTTTCGATCCCTTGACTATTGAGTGCTGAATATGTTCAACAGTATAGCGCACGTATTGCCTCGAATCCAGTGAGTAGCACAACAAGTGTTCATCCTTGGACGCATTCTGATATTTTTGATGATAGTATATCGTCGGTACATTCGCATGTATCGGTGGAGGCCTCTTCGGTCTGGATATATCTTCCATGTCCGCAGTGTTGAATGTGAGCCCATGATCATCCACGCCTGATTTCATTTCGACGATGTTAATGCATGATACCTGGACAGAACCCCGCTTACGCGAACACTTTCAACAATGTATGTTTGATTTATCGATAACCTCTTGCATGTGATTTATGTGAATTTCGTGTAGCCTACTGCCAATGCACAGGGTGCTATCGTTGCTTCTATGCCCGCTGGGTCCCTCGTTGGAGCCCTTTCTGTCACCTACCTTGGTGACAAGCTTGGGCGTAAAAAGACGATCATCCTTGCTGGTCTTTTCTGGGTCATTGGCTCTATTCTCCAGTGCGCGTCAGTCGTGAGTGTATCATCCTATCATACCATTGTTTCGCTGTTAAGATGCCGCTTTAGAACCGTGGCATGCTCGTGGTTGGCCGTGTCATATCTGGTTACTCCGTCGGCATATCTTCTACCGTTGTCCCTGTCTATCAATCCGAGATCGCTGCACCTGCTATCCGTGGTCGCCTGGTTTCCTTCCAACAATGGTCTATCACTTGGGGTATCTTGCTTCAGTACTTTGTTCAGTTCGGTTGTTCGTACATGAACGGCGCTGCTTCATTCCGTATCCCATGGGGTCTCCAGATGATCCCCGCTATTGTTCTTTCTCTCGGTATGCTCCTATTCCCCGAATCTCCCCGTTGGCTCGTCGATCATAACCGGTGCGCGTCCTTTTGAAATATACTAATCATCAATCTCATACTTCTTACAGCGAGGAAGAGGCTTTGGAGATTCTTGCTGATCTCCACGGCGGAGGCAACCAGCAGGATGAGCTCGTCGTTCTCGAGTTCGAGGAAATTAAGCAACAGGTTTACTTCGAGCGAACTGAAGGCGCCAAGGCCTGGTCAGATCTCCTCAAGCCTGGTGTGGCGCGCCGTGTCGTCCTTGGCTCCAGTCTCCAGATGTGGTCTCAGCTTACTGGTATGAATGTTATGATGTGAGTCCCTCTCCGGCCTTTGGTCACTCGCTTCGTATTCACACCCAAAACAGGTACTATGTCGTCTACGTCTTCGAGGGTGCTGGTCTTACTGGTCGTCGCGCGAATCTTATTGCAGACTCTGTACAATATGTCCTTAACGTCGCCTTCACTGGTAAGATCGATTCACTTTAATTGGTGACAATGATTGTGATGACCTTGGAATTTTAGTTCCTGCGATCATTTACATCGACAGATGGGGACGCCGCCCGATGATTATGTACGGCTGTCTCATCATGGGTTTCTGGCTCTACCTTGTCGGTGGTCTCCAGGCCCGCTTCGGCCAATGGGGAACTCTCAATGGTGCTTGTAAGTTCAACGTTGAACTCCTTAACTCTCTGTGATGCCTACCTTTTTCCTTAATCAGCTGCATGGGTCGTAATCAACAATCCCGCTGCCACAAGAGCCATAATTGTGTGCTCCTACTGCTTCGTATCTTCCTTCGCCATTACGATGGGTCCCGCCTCCTGGACCTACCCTGCTGAGATCTTCCCCATGCGTGTACGGGCCAAGGCCGTCTCCCTCTCCACAGCCACGAACTGGCTGTTCAACTTCGCTTTAGCTTGGGCTGCACCTCCTATGTTGACCTACATCCAGTGGAAGACATACTTCGTGTTCGGGACGTTCAACTTCGCAGCCTGCATCCATTTCTTCTTCTGCTTCCCCGAGACCGCACAGCGCTCGCTGGAGGAGATCGAGGACGTGTTCGCACAGGGCCACGAGTACAGCGCCTGGGCTGTGTCGAGGTCCGTGGGCAAGAAGGACTTGGCAGAAGTACTTGCACAACAGAAGATAGACGACAAGGAGTCGCTTGAAAAGGGTGATGCCTAAGGGGGGCGAAGGCACGTTTTCAAGCTTTGTTCATTTTTCTGGCTCTTGGTGACGTTTAATAGTTTACTGTATTTGTTACGCACTGCTATTAGCATGAGCATTTAGCATCACAATCAATTCACGATGAAATTACGCGTATGCGGGAATCTCAATTTTCAGTTGCACACATTGACAGTACGCAATGGTTTATCACAAGCAAAAGTTTGCGCAAGTGCATTTCACATGTTGTTCCTCCACATGCATGTTCCTCCACATTTATCTTGGCGTCCGTTGACCGCACATTCAAATCTTCCAGACCAGGCTATGTACTACTTGCATGCTGCGTGCGTACCTATCATTCCAGACTTTTGACCCGGCCGCCAAAAAACCTCGCTGGATTATCCATCACCCACCCGCTGTCAACTTGATTGCCGCTCAAGAGCGCTCAAGTTGAAACCCACCCTCCTATTTCCAGCGACATTTCCGCATGGTGACCAGCACTGCATATAGACCAGTAAAGGCGTTATTTCTATCTTGTGATTAAGTTAGTCATGGCACTAGCCCCATGATGCATGGATTCGATGATGTTGGTAATTTCAAGCTTCAAGGGCTCACACTGGCTGTCAGTGAGTACTTTTGTCTCTTGAAATTAATTATGATCACCATACGGATCGTTCGCATACTGGCAAGTTCGCACATCTGAGGCCGCTTCAACATTAACATTTGACCATCTAAATGTCCGTCTTGCTCGCAGTTTTCTCCTCGCGATCTCGGACATGCAAGCCCGCGTCAGCTCAAGGAGGTGATACCAGACCGTATCCGGGCCAATACTATGTACTCTCACCATGTCAAACTCGCGGTATTGTGATTAGAGCGATACGAGTTATGGGTCGAAAATCCAAGGAACAAGAACATCGAAGAGTCAGGGAGACGTAATAGCGACGATGATATGGCATTGCAATTACAATTCACTTCCAAGGAACTCCGGGTAAAGTTGTTGGATCACTGATGGAGGATGGTGCCCGTCCTGGATTCCTGGAGATGAGTTTCTCCGGTTAGTATACAGTATGATGGTACATCAACACCCTCTCGTCCGATATCCAACCTATCGAAAAATGCGTGTGACGCCTTACATTATTATCATACAACTCCCCTTGATCACCTTACAGATTTTGCTCCTCCTCAACCCATCACCTCCATGGAACTTATTTGGTGCCCTCGCCCTCGCCTTGATTTGCTCACTCATTATCAGCCCGAGCGTGTTTGTGAGCTTGAACATTGACACTGGCATTGGCTACGTAGACTATATGCTAGGGTCCACCATCGCGTGCTATGCCATGAACAGCTTTTATTTGCTCTTGCTGGGGAGGCCATTGGAGAATTTCACAATTGAAGACAAGGGGAACGAAAAAGTGCACAAAAGTTGGTGGAAAAGGATTCTTCACGTCGCGCATGTCATGCAATCCCCGCGGGGGGTCGGATGGAACTATCAGGTACGTGGTTTACAATCTCTGCAGTTAGACTGGCTCACCCCATTCTTGATTGCTAGGTGAAAAACGTTCCTGCTGCCCCACGACAACCCAGACACTTGTTCGTCCTCAGCTCCACCTTGCGTGCTGTCTGCCACGCAATCCTCTTCGAAGTCGCGAGGCTGTATGTTTGGTACAACCCTGCGTTTTCATCGCCCACGGTCGAGATTCAGACGCGAAGCTATGTTGCGCGGTGTGCTGACACCACTGCATTCATCGGGCTGACATACTGGGGCTTGAATGCTGGCTACTTCGCAATAGCAGCGGGGAGTGTTGCGCTCGGATTGAACGAGCCGAGAATGTGGCCTGACTTGTTTGGGTCTTGGCGAGATGCGTATACTATTCGGCGAGCTTGGGGGTAAGTGAACATGTACTGAGCAGCTTGTTTTTTCGGTTTTCCTGATATTCTATATAGGAGGACGTGGCATCAGACCTTGAAATGGGTGAGCGCGCTTGACCAAGTCTGCACGTATCTTGGCTGAAAACGTGTATTCGTGCTAGTTCCTCGCCCCTCTTGGTAAAGCGACATCGTCTGTCCTTGGGTTCAAGCGCGGTACATCAGGATCATCGTACGCACAGATTTACGTTGCGTTCCTATTCTCGGGCCTCGTACATACAGGAGGGGACATTGCGCTCTCCGGATCTTCCACCTCCGCTGCACCACGGCCGTTTTTCTCGCTGCCATTTTTTCTCTCGCAAGCAGTCGTTATCACCCTTGAAGACGCGTTCATCCGGATCGCAAGACGCCTGGGAGTCAAGGATAGCATATGGACGCGAGCCTTGGGGTTTGTCTGGGTCGCGGTATGGTTTGGTTTGTGTGTGCCCCAATTTGTCGAGAACATGATCAGGGCGGGTGGTGGGATAAGGAAGTCTGCCAGCGGAATGGGTGGGAATGACTTGGGCCCCAATTTGGTGCAAACCGCGATGGTTGGATTATTTGGATTTGATATCGGGGAGTTTGCTGAGTCATGGTTTGCCAAGGGCATGAACTGAGACAAAAGACAGGGTTCGTGACACAACCTCGTTTACTGCTTACCTTTCTGAACGACGAACTCACCTGGACTCATCCGTAATGGTCTTACTGGCACTTGGAAGGGCGAATGTTGACATATGGTGAGCTGGATACACGTGGATAGTACTGACTCCGACTCGCATCATGATCAGATACTTGTTGTGATTGCGTGCCTGGGCCTCAAGTTGTGGGTTCAATTATACCAGACGAGATAAAACTCTTGTGATCCATCACTAGCCCAGAGCCCAGAGCCATCACTTGCAATCTCCTGCAGCGAGGTGAGTTTGCCCAATGCGAGTCCACCACTAGAGGTATTGCCATGGCAGAATGTATCAGAAGTCAGAATAACGCGACATTTTGATCAATCACGAGAGGTTCGTTATGTTGGCATTAATGACTCGACTCGGCCGCTGTCTTTGCCACCCGCATTAAGACCACCCACCAAGATCTCATCAACAGACTTTGGCACAGGCAGCATCGACCGCCATTTCAATACACACTACAGCAAGTCGGCAACTAATTTGTTTTGGGCTTTGCGAGATCCGATTTTGAGGGTAAGTGGACATGTTGGAAGCTCATCTGTTTCGATTATCTATGTAGGAGGACATGGCACGGGCACCGTGGCGTCGTCTGCCCGTGGTTCAAGCCCAGCACATCAGGGCCATTATACATACTCTTCATTTCGATTTTCCTGCTTCCTATCAACTCGTACTTACAGGACGGAATACTAGTATCGCACTTCCCAGCTTCTACCTCCGCTGCATCACGGCCATTCCTCGCGATGCCATTCTTTCTCTCACAAGCAGCGGGAAGATAAGGCCGTCTACGGTCGAGAGCGGATGGCGTGTTTGTAATTTGATATCGGAGAGTGTGCTGAATCTTGGTTTGGTCGTGAGCGGAGATTTGAAGGACAATGGTTATGGCATCATTGGCATGCCATATGGATATCTGAACGTTATCTCATCAAGCCAACATCAAGCGGAAGATAAAAGGCAGTGCGTCTATCCTCGTGGATCTGCTGTGTATAATGAAATGCGGATTTCTCCGCGTACGGTATCCCGACACGGGAGGAGCATGGATGGTCGAGGCGGTGTGTTCCATACTAATATGTTCGCATTTATTGAGCAGCATGTCCAATTCCAATCTTCATTTAGCGCTATGAATATGCACGTACATGTGATTCTGGGGTATTTCCGTCACTGGTACCTATATTCTCTGACTTCAATGGAACGACTGTCTTCCTTCTTTTGTGAGGAGACAGTACTAGTTTTGTCCCCGCGATGACATGATCAATGGAGGTTATTAAATTTCCAGCTGTACTTACCACGTTCAAGATAGTGGCGTACGGCAATTTTGTCATGGACTTACCGTTGACAACAGTGAACACGGTGATCATCAGCAGTCTGAGGGAGGCCGCGGGGCAGGAGAAGCTGGAGCAGGACGACGACGAGCTAGATGGTATGGGATCCGAAGGTGTGTATCCGCTTATGATGTTCCATGTGCACGGGCCCACAAAATATGTTGAGGTTAACATGCGTGGATTGTTCCGAGGGTTCCGTTCAACAGTGGCAATGTACACGATTTATTCGTCATGAATTCATAACCAGTATTTCTGCGTTTCGATAGGTTTACATTGGATTTACTTGGCAGCTGCAACCGCTGCATCGACAATTTCTGTCATTCTTATAACCGCCTCTTCTTCCAAAGTCCGACCGACAAGTTGCAAACAAACAGGGGCATTCTTGAATTTCTCCGGATCGTCTGAATCATCGATGACAAGGCATCAGATATCAAGTACAGAGAGGTCGTTCAGTGCTGGCACCATACTCACACATTTCGTAGATGTCCTTATCGAAGTCGTCGTAGAAACCATGAGGGGGCGCCTTGCCATCGAGAGTGGAGTCGACAGTTGTCACAGGGAAAACGGCAGCGGGATAGTCGAGCGCATTCCAAACGATGGTGTAGTCGACGTACCTGCCCATTGCCTCTCATTGACCTGAGCTCAACATTTCGCAATTACAGGACACTGACCTGTTCTTCCCATGGGGAGTTGCCACAAACGGTGCGGCCGGACAGATGATGGCGTCGACAGGCCGTCCTGTCCCAGTCTCTGACACAGTTGCTTCCCAGTGGTCTAAATATTCCATCCGGATATTTTGACGCAGCTTCTGCACTTGCCAGAGCTGGTATACGGTCAGACCATCATTCTGCGGACGGAAAGTTGCTACAGCAGTATCTGCGTCGTCCAGTTCCATTGTGGTGATTAATGGCTCCCCTGTGACAGAGGTCGTGATCATGAATTCCTCGGCAGAAGCAGCGTTCATGATGCCTCGCTGCATGGTGCTACTGAGTCAATAGACAGGCACACTAAAAGATATTGCTTGCCGTTATATCTCCAAGCTCTCTGTGCTTGATGGGTTTCCAGTCAACGACTACAATTAATTGAGCACATTTTAGAAGAGGAGCTGACGATAAAAACCTTTGTGGCCCGCCTTCTGGAGAGCTGCTTTAGTGATTTCCAGAGCCCTCCTGATAGGTGGGTGGGGAACAACGACACCATTGTCCCACATGATTGCAAAGCACAAATCCTTGCCAAAGCCATGGTCCGCAAGATTGTACTCGTCCTCGTCCCATTTCTTCCGAACCACAAGAGGATCTTTGAGCCATGGTTTAGCGTTCACGACAGCTTTCATGAAAGCTTTGACCCCGACGACGCTGTTCGTCATGGGACCAAGCACGGGGACAAGCGAGTCTTGGCCCTCAAGTGTGCCGCGGGTACCAGAGTACGGTACACGCCCGTATGACGGTTTCAGGCCGTATAAGCCACAGAATGCAGAGGGGATACGAATAGAGCTATCAGGAGGCCGTCAGAAGGCCATCATTGACATTTCTTAATCCCTTTCATACCCTCCGAGATCAGAACCAACTCCCAGTGGGCTTCCTTTGAGGGCGATCAATGCACCCTCTCCTCCTGATGACCCACCCGAGGTCAGGGAGCGGTTGTATGGGTTAGTTGTCCGGCCGAAGACATAATTGAAGGATTCTGGCCACTGAAGATGCTGCTAGCACACGAGTAACACCCATCTGGAGAGTGCGCTCACCGCAAGTGTCTGCGGAACGTTAGTGCGAACAAATGGCACGGCTCCGCACTCAATTAGAACGTCGACCAACACTGCGTTTTTATCTGCGTACTGCCCAATCAACGAAGCATACCCTAAGACATGGTGAATCACAGTGCGTCAGGCCTACTAGTACGCCAGGATTGTTACTTACCAATAGTGGTTTCCAGTCCCTTGATACATAGTTGGTCCTTCAGAGAAATTGGCAGGCCGTGAAGGGGACCAACGACCTTCCCTGTCTTCTTCAAGTGATCATCAAGTTCGGCCGCTCGGGCTAACGCACGATCAACAAATATTTCTGTCAAGCAATGGACCTCGTTGGCCGGTTAACACAATATCGTCAAGCAAAGTTGCCTCGCAATTCCGCTTACAAGTTGATGGGCAATAATGGCCCTCTTGGAGAACGCAGTGGTCACATCTACGGCTGTCCATTCCGCACGTGCAAGTTTCTCTAACAAAACCTGCACTGAAGTATTGGTGATCTCAATTTCTCTTGCGTTTAGAAGGCCACACGTCTCTGGAAATTCAGTCACGTCCAGAGTAGAGTCTGGAGGTGGAGTCACAATCCACTCCTGTGGAATGGATTCTAGCTGCCTTTGCTTCTTCTCTGCGACTAGAGCAGTCCAGTGCGGCATGTCGGTGGGAATGTAATTGAACGTAGGTGGTCCAAATAGAAGGAAAAGAGTCGTTCCCTCTTTATCATTGATAAGTAAACAATTAAGTAGAGCTGAATCCTGGGTAGTACACATAGACAAACAAGTATACGTACATGCATTATTATGGTTGACCCTGACTCCAGACGGTGATCAGACGCCGCCGAAGTCAACATGATGCGGTCGCTCGTATCATCTGACCTACGCCCCGGCACATGTCTCTTGTCTGATGTTAAATGCTGCATGAAGTATTATTTGGGTCATGTCATCTCAAGCCTCATCTTGAGCCTAATGTACCAAATTCAATGGAACGATAGACCTACCATTGAAGAAAGGCTTGTATATATGTCGGAAACTAGTGCTCAGAGAGTTTATAGGGGTAGGCAAGGGGGTAGGATGGGTGCATTTAATGCGCACCAAATAGAGCCAAATACTTGTGGTGGAACACGCAAGTGAAGCGCGATCGTCACACCTTGGCGAAATAAGTTGGCTAATGCACATGTGCAATCTTGGTTGGAATTGTCTTACACACGTAAGTACTTGCGTTGGTGAGGCAGCGCTCGAATGTTGTGAGGTCGCGAGCTGGATGTCTGAATGGCCTGTATTGAAGTCATTGAAAAACGATAGATTACAAAATCACATTCCTGCATACCATTCCAACGAACATTCAAATTCTATCTTTAACCGAAGAACCGTGCGGGAGCCAACGCGACACCTGTTAATACAATTTTGAAAAGGGCTTTCACACACCTCTCTAAGTGCTCAGTCTTCTCTCCGCCGACTTGTTGCACACCACAGATATCCGTGCGATAAATTGACCCTGCAGTACTGCAGGTGACTGTGATAATTATTTTCTCGAAGATTGCAGTGTACACGACTCACCAACTCCACTCGGACAAGATGACGCATTGAATGAAACGCCTACAAATTTGCTCACCATTCACCATCCCAATTACTCATCAGCATCTGTACGTGTTCACCAATCTCCGTGTATTCTCATATAGCCTCATACACCCCTCTTAGACTTGTCTCGTTCTGGAACAATTCTGGAACATGCAAGCCGTTGCCCACAAGATCTACATCGCGTCTCGAGCTCCCAACTTGAAAAGCCTCGTCGCATCACCGCGTTAGATTTTGAGCCGATTCAACAATTCGAGGGCCAGGGAGGAAAGTACTGAAGAGGCGACATCGTAGCAGTTGACTGCGCGACAGGAGACAGAGACTGATGGCACGTAATAGCAAACCACACGTGCACCGCGTAAGGGTTAGTCAGCTTGCCCTGGCCGGCACCTGTGCAGTGACCTACATGTAGTAACCGCCGCAACGCTCATGCGTTGGAGTCGACATTTCAAGGTTTAAATCGGTGTTGAAGCTAAGCTTCACACCTCTTTACACGTGGAACATGCTGAAACCATGTGTCTGGCCGATCTTCAGTGAATCTGGCGCCTGGCCGCCCTAATAAAAAATTGGGGGTTGCATGAAAACTAGTGACGAGCCTTTACTGGTTTTCTTCTCTCGAGTTGACTCATCTTCAAGTTTGCAATGATGTGGCCAGGATCATCTACCGTAAGTCGCGTCTAGCTCTTCCTCAGCATAAAACCTTCACACCCAAAATCAGGGTGCCGCTGGCTCCAGCCATGTCGAGGAAGCTTCACCAGATACATGCAATGTTGTCATTTTCGGAGAAACAGGAACTGGCAAAAGCTCCTTAGTCAATTTAATCATTGGGCCAGAAATCGCACCGACATCCTCCGACGCTAAAGGATGTACAGATGAAACCAAGGAGTACTTGCACGACCTTGCGATTCAAAGCAAGACCTTGAAGGTAAAGCTTTTCGATACAGCCGGTAGGTGCAGGGCGCTGCTCTTGGCGGGTGTTACTGAATTAGATAGCAGGTCTTGGTGAGGGCTCTCATGGCAAAGTCCCCGACAAGAAAGCTCGGAGACTTTTAAAGGACCTTCTTCAAAGGCTTACGCAGCAAGATGGCATCCATCTTGTCATGTACTGTGTTGATGGCAAGAAAAAGGGCACGGAAGCCATCAAAGCCCTGTGCCGCAACTACCAACTATGTATCTCCGAAGTTAAGAAAAGAGTCCCAATCGTCCTCGTCGTCACACGTTTGGAATATATAGAACCAGAAATGGAGAAATGGTGGGAGAACAACGAGCGGTTCATCTTAGAGCACGGCATGACCTTTGCTGGTCACGCATGCATCATGACACTGGCCGAAGATGCGACGCTCAAGGAGCGCCACGACCAGTCATACCTCGCCGTCCGCAAGCTTATTTGGGAGTGTCATTCGAGGTGCGGTGCTTCCAGATACCCTTTTTGCTCTATCTTTAATCTGTTGAGTAGGAACGGGCCCAGGAGGAACGGACCCAAAAGGAAGAGGAACGTTCCTAAAAGGAACTTGTTCAACAAGAGAAAAAGGACCGCGCCCCACAGAACCGAGCCCGAAAGGAACAAGCCTAAAAACATCGTGCTCTTTGGGGAGACGGAGGCAGACAAAAGTTCACTCGTCAACCTTTTGGCGGGAAAGGAGGTGGCAGTCGTGTCTCCTGACCTGCAACGTTGTACGATGCACTGGAAAGACTACAACATCGACTTCGGAGACGAGACTTACAAGGTGTTCGATACTATTGGACTTGAGGAACCGCAGCTGGCGATCAGAGAGTACCTCGAGTCTGTTGACAGCGTCTATAGGCTCATCAAGGAATTGGACCGACAAGGCGGCATTGATTTGCTTGTGTTCTGCATTCGCCCCTGCCGAATAAATGCTACGCTTTACAGCAATTACAAGCTGTTTCACGATTACCTTTGCAAGGGAAATGTTCCCATTGTTCTTGTGATCACGCACACCGAAAGAGGGATGGAGGGCTGGTGGGAGGGAGTGCAAAGTAAATTCGAATGTTATGGGATCCGGGTCGCTGGTCACGCGTGCATCTTCGTCGCTGATGGATTGGATGGCCCATACGAAACCCGTGATGACGAAGTCACGATCCGCAATCTTGTGGAGCAGTTTACTGCCAACGGGCAGAAGCCAGCATGGATAGGAGGGGACGATCTTTTTGTGTCGCTGATGCTCAAGCTGAAGGAATTACCCGCAGGGCATTTGCGTGTGAAGGGGGTGAGTATCGTCTCTCGCCTCATGAAGCGTTGCGGTACGTCTCGACGAGTCGCAAGAAGGTTGGCATATATGATTAAACAAGACCCGGTGACTACTTGACGCCTCATTTTCGCAGTCACAACAGATTTTGTTGTCGTCGATACTTAAGAATAATACTTGAAGACCGGGAGCCTATTTGTACTTATGTGGTGTGAAGGTCCGACGAAGTCTGTCGGACCTCGCGTACTTCGATATTCTCTTTTGCACATCTCAATTTACCGACTCCAAGAAGCTGAGAGCCCCAATACGTGCGTCGTGAATGGAACATCCTAAACACATGGATGTATGCAACTTGCTGAATTCATGCATCGGGTTCCATATTTCAAGCCTCAAATTCGGATCCGGTGGCAGACGCTGACTGTCAAGACCGGTTAAAGCTTGAAATGAAGACACCAGTACCACAGAAATCACAGATGCTAGTGACATGCACGGAACATGCTGCTTCCATGTGTCTGAACGGCAACCGATCTTCAAATCTGGCACCTGGACAGGCCTGGACCCCCGACGTTGTTTCTAATAATGATTCGGAGGATAGACGAAGAAACGTCCGAGGACACTTATAATGAACACGCAAGTCAAGAGGCAACTGTTTTCTCTCTCGCGTTGAGATATCTCCAAGTTCACAGCGATGTGGCCAGGACTCATCGTAAGTCTTGTCTACGTCTTCTTCAGCATCAAGTTAACTTGAAGTATTGACGCCCAAAATCAGGGTACTGCTGATTCTAACGATGCCGAAGAAATTTCATATTGCACAGACAGCTGCAATGTTGTCATTTTCGGAGAAACAGGAGCTGGCAAAAGCTCCTTGATCAATTTGATCCTTGGGTCAGAAATGGCAGAGACATCCTGCGACGCCAAGGGATGTACACCTGGAACCAAGGAGTACGTGCACGATATTGCGATTCAAAACAAGATTTTGAAGGTAAAGCTTTTCGATACAGCCGGTCAGTACAAGTTGCCACTATTGGTGGGTGTCACTGAACTATATTGCAGGTCTTAATGAGGGCTCTGAGGGCACAGTCCCCGCTGAAGAAGCCCGGAAAGTTTTGAAGAAATTTCTACAAAAGCGCATGGGGCAGGATGGCATTCATCTCCTCATATATTGTGTTCAGGGTGCAAAGCAGGGCCCGCAAGGGATGAAGGCGCTCTGCCGCAACTACAAATTATGTTCCGAAGTTACTGGACGGATTCCAATCGTCCTTGTCGTTACAGGTTTGGAAAACATGCAAGAAGAAATGGAAGATTGGTGGAAGTACAACGAGCGGTTTATCTCCGAGCACAAGATGACCTTTGCTGGCCACGCATGTATCACCACACTGCCCGGTGACGCGACGCTCAAGGAGCGCCACGACCAGTCACATCTCGCCGTCTGCAAACTCATCGAGGAGTGTAGCACAAGGTACAGAGTCTTCTGATGCTCCTCGTGCTGTACGTTTTGCTAATTTTCACATTGTCAAGTGGGAACGGGCATAAAAGCAACGGGCCTAAAAAGATCGTACTATTTGGGGAAACGGGGGCAGGCAAAAGCTCAATCGTCAACCTCATGGCGGGAAAAAAAGTGGCAGACACATCTCCTGACATGAAACGCTGTACGATGCAGTGGAAAGACCACAACATCGACTTCGATGGCAAGTCTTATACGGTGTTCGATACCGTCGGACTCGAGCAGCCGCATTTGGACGTCAGCGACTATCTCGACTCTGTCGAGAACGCCTATAGGCTCATCAAAGAATTGGACCGACAAGGCGGCATTGATCTGCTTCTGTTCTGCATTCGTGCCGGCAGAGTCACTGCTACAATCCAGAGCAATTACCGACTATTTTACGAATTCCTCTGCGAGAAGAAGGTTCCCATTGTTCTCGTGCTCACGCACCTCGAAAGAGAGCATAGGATGGAGGACTGGTGGGAGAGACAACAAAATATCTTCGAAAGATATGGAATCCAAGCCGCTGGTCACGCGTGCATCACTGCCGCTAACGGATTGGATGGCCGACATAGAGACCATTATGAAGAATCACGCGTCACGGTCCGCGAACTCGTGGAGAAGTTTACTGCCGACGAGCAGGACCCAGCGTGGATAGGAGGTCACAACCGGTTCGTGTCATTGATGCGTAAACTGAAGGACCTACTTCCAGAGCATTTGGATCTGAACTTGAGGAGGAAGGATATTGCCTCCCGCCTCATGCAGCGTTGCAGTTTGTCTTCAGACGCCGCAAGGCAGTTGGCTGATATGATTAAGCAAGTCTAGTAGAAGTAGCTACTCGACTTCCTCTTTTTCGATACCACACTCAGATTTTCTTGTACATTTTGTGCCCATTGATACGCTACACTAGGACTTTTCACTGACACACTCGCGAGCCTATTTGTATTTCAGACGACAGTTTGAATTATGCCTCCAGTCACTTCATAAAGATTTGAGATGGTTGATGTAAGGTCATACTTAATATTGATAGTCGGGTGATTAATCATGCATTACATCTGTGTTGAGGAAGTGTGCGGTGAACAGTCCAACCAAACACGTCATCTAAGTGTTCTACTCCCACCTATCTGTAACATCTGCGAAAATGGGTTGTGTTGTGTGTGTATGGCTAGAGAAAAAAATGAAAGAACACGAAAGCGCAGATCGACAAAGCACAATAGATGCGTGCGAAAAAGATGAACAAGGGGTTGGGTTGGGTTATGAATATGGTAGGCCTCCCCCGCCTGTCCCGTTGCTCCCTCCACCTGCGTGCCGTCCTCCGCCCGTCCGCCGTGGGGCACGACCACCAAACGGTGGTGGACCGGAGCCCATGGGAGCCACAGGTCGTGGCGGTAGATGAGCAGGAAGGTCCATGGCACGAGGAGCTTGACGTGGTTGGTGTATCCCACGGGGAGGATACCCAGCGCCGTGAGGTGGTGGGCGTCCGAAAGGTGGAGGCTGGTTGCCGGGATGTTGGCTACCAGGATGCCCAGGGTGCGGACCACCGGGATGAGGACCACCAGGGTGCTGACCACCAGGAGGACCAGGAGGGTGACCACCGCCTTGATGCTGCAACAAAGCAGACACAATGACAGGAGGTGGGGGACCTGGCCTGAACGCATCGCGGTGCGGCGGTCCACGAGGGTAGAACCCTTGGGGCTGGTTTGGCAAAGGGTGTGGCCTGAAGTAGCCATCGGGAGGCATAATACCTGGTGGCGGCTGGTTGTTGCGTCGCCCGCGCTTATCGAATTCGTGGGAGGCTTCGTATGACGGAAGGCTGCATGGATAGAGGGTGAAACGGAACAAGCACGAACAAATCAGCAATACTCACGTTTTGGGGTCAGCGGGGAGTGGGTCGGTCCAGAAATAATCGTGGTCAAGGGCTTGTGAGGCAGTGATACGATCCCTTGGGTTGCATGTAAGCAGCTTATCCAGGAGGTCACAGGTCTCAGGGCCAATACTTGCAAAACACAGTTAAGCATAAACTAAAAGCGTTACGCACACAAGAGCTGACCTTTCATACGCGGCTCTCAGCTTCTTGGAATAAGTCTGATTGAACCGCTTTACGCCCTCGCACCCTGGTAGGGCATCGTAATTTGGCCATGTATGCTGATTCGGAGTACCGCACAACTGCCAAATCTTCTCCAATTGGTCGATGTCCGACGATCCAGGAAGAATTGGCCTGCGCATGAACATCTCTCCGAGAACGCATCTGCAAAGCAGGAGTTCAAACAAGCTGCCCCAAAGATGTCGACAACCACAAACCCTATGCCCCAGATATCAACTTCTCCACCATACTGTCGGGCGCCGAGCAGTAGTTCTGGAGGACGGTACCACCTTGTCACGACACAGTTCGTGTACTTCTTTTCTCTCCCACGCTGATCCATAACACCATGGATAACACTCGGATCATATGCGCGCGCTAGACCGAAATCTGCTATCCGGAGCGAGCCGTTGTTATCGATGAGAAGATTGGCGGCTTTCATGTCGCGGTGTAGGATGTGATTCTGTGAATGGACGTGAGTCAAAATCGAGTAAGGAAAATGAGGACGAACACGATGCATATATTCCGTTCCTTCCAGAAGTTGCTTCATATACAATTTGATATGGCTGGGTTGTAGCTTTACGCGCTCGTTCTCCAGTAGGCCAGCGAGGTCATGGTCCATGTATGGAAACACCATGTAAACAGATAACGAGTTCTTTCCATTGCCTGGTGCATAATGTCAATGATTATGCATGACATAGTATGAGCACTTACTACGGACGACGAACATATCCAAGATATCGATTATGCATGGGTGGTTCATTGCCTTGAGAATTTTGATCTCGCGCAAGGCAGTTACGGGCATGCCCTCCTTCTCATTGTGCATAAGAATACGTTTGAGAGCCACCAGGCGCCCGCTGTGATGAACTGCTTTGTGGACCTCTCTGAGCAAGGTGAGCAGTCGCGTTCAGTAGCAGTGCAACAGGCCTGATACATACCCAAAAGTACCCTCGCCGAGTTTCGCAGTGGCGTCGTAGTCGCTTTGTTGACCACAACCAAGAAAGACGTGACCGTATGCCTCTAGCTCTTGCTTTCTTGTACGTTGCACGGGGGCACGTTTCCGCTTATGCTCCACAGGTGGTAGTCTTGGCGTCGCGTCCACTGCGGTCTCCTTCTTTTCCTTCACCGGCTCCTCATGAGCGGATGGAAGCGGAAGCGGCGACGGAGAATGGGCGTCTCTAGGTGCCGGAGGTCGTTTCAAAGGAATTGCAATCGAGATAGCTGCGTGAGGAGGTAGGGTTTCATCTTTGGGTCGTTCGGGGGTTGGGACGGGGGGTGGAGAAGAAGGCGGAGGCGGTGGTGTGTGGGAAACATGTTTGTGACTTGATGCCGTAGGTGACGGAGGGGAAGGGTCACGGTATATACCCGGGGAAACAGGACGATACTGATCGTCACGGTCATCATCTTGAGCACGAGGTGCCACAGAGCGATGGCTCCCCGTATGATAGGTATCGCGATCTGTATCACGTCCTCCTTCAGGGTGACTTGGGTGGTCCCTATCATAAGAGTCCCATGAACGTTCGCGTTCGCGACGCGGCGAGTGGCGCACGGGACGACGATAGCGGTCGTCCGTCCGCGAGTAATTTTCATTTTCCGATGGTGGCCCCCAGCGATTATGGTCATCATGACGGGCGCGTTCCCAGCCCCCATCACGCATCCTTTGATCATGTAGTCTGTCCACGCCATAGTCACGACGAGGCGGACTATAATTAACCAATGGAGAGCGACGTGATGGTAATCTGTGCTTTCCTCGGTGTGAAGAAGAAGATGAGGACGGTGAACGGGAGCGGTCAGGTGAATGAGGTGACAGTGAAGAAATATCGCGTTCCCTTCCATAGACACGACCGTCATACCTATCCCGTGCTGGGATGTATGTGTCATGAGCAGGCCTGTAAGGGTCCCGTGGAAGATCCCAGGCAGGGGGACGACGGTCGCCCTCTCTACTATAGGAAGGCTGCCAATGATCACTTATTTGAGCGCCGCTCCTTTTGCGAGATTGGTCATAGTGAAGCCTGGACCTGCCATTGCGTTGGTCATCCTCCCGTATGCGTCTCTCGTCGTCTTCGGATCTCTCATAGACCGAAGTATGCCTTCTGTCCATCATGGGACTAATTCTCTGAGTAGATGGACCAGGAGCATCTGGACCGTTTGTTTTCTTCTTGAAAGGAAACTTGACCTTAGTCTCGAACTTGGAAGGAGCTGGCTTGGGTGGCAGGGGAATTATTGTTGGGCGCGGAGAAGGTGGCGAAGAGTCATCTACTTCGCCCTCCTCTGGTGATGAAGTGGTAAGTCTCTTTGCTGGGCGTTCATGATGAGGTCTATCTGGAGCTGCCCGTTTGTTGGAAGTCTGAAGCATTACACGGTGGCGAAGAAATGAGTGCGAACACAGGAATTAAAAGCAACTCTCGGAGAAAAAGGATGGCTGACGTAATATCATTACATTTCTATGAAAGTCCGAGTCTTTGTAAGTCAAGCTATGGCGCTATCTACGGTCACCAATGACCAGATCAAGGAGATCATCGTTATTGGTGCAGGCGTCATCGGCCTCACCACAGCCTTAAAGCTCCAGGAGCAAGGCGCTTATCGTGTCACAATCGTTGCAGAGACTTTCCCCACAGATCCAAAGTCAAGCAGGTACACCAGTCACTGGGCAGTAAGTAGTTATCTCACCAGACAAGTTTGCGGCCGCTGATGATCTATAGGGTGCACACCATGTTAGCCATGCTTACGACGATCAAAGACAACGAAGTATGCTGCTTTCTGACTGCATGAACATACACGTCACACCCTAGTCATACAGAGCTTGATCAAGATACCTTCCACGCATTATGGAAGTTATCAGAACCAGGTGGTGCAGCCGAGGGTTGTTTCTTGCGGCATATCCAAACTGAATATCACGGAGACGATCTCCCTGATGCCGAATGGCTTCATTTTATGCCAGATGTATGACACAGATTCGCATTCATGGTCGCCGTTATTCTAACTCGCATCAGTTTAAATATCTAGAGAGTAACGAACTTCGTGGTCCAGCAAAGATAGGCTTCTCATTCAGCACAGTCACCATGAATACCCCAGTCTACCTTAATTGGCTTCTGTCTTCTTTCCTTGCGAAAAATGGGACCATTCTGCGCGTGTCCCTGCAGCACATCAGTCAACTTCTCGAGCGAGGAACTAGTCCGTACACGGGTGCCCGTTCGTACCGTGACGTCGATGCTATTGTCGTCTGTGCTGGTCTCGGCGCCCGGACCCTAGGAGGCGTTGAAGATAAGGACGTACATCCGATTCGCGGGCAAACCGTACTACTCAGAGCTCCTTGGATCAAGTTCGGGAGGACCATGACTGAGGCTGATGGGACGTACACTTATACGATGCCAAGAAGCAATGGCGACGTGCGCTTTCTGAGAATCATACGAGATGCGTTCTCTGACTGTTTTATATAGGTGTTATGCGGCGGCACAAGAGTACCCAATGACTGGTAGTTATCTCAAATTATCATTTCGTCAAATTCTCAGTTATTACAGGTACCCAATTCCGCGTCCTGAAATAACCGATGATATTCTTGCGCGCGCCCTGCAACTCACCCCAGAGCTTGCACCTCCACAAACGCGTGTTGACCGTGAGCCCACCGTCGAGGACCTCCGTCCCATCATTATTGAGCCAGGTTGTGGTCTGCGCCCTGGGAGAAATGGTGGCATCAGACTTGAAGTCGAGTGGGTTGACGCGCCTGCGCGAGGTAAAGTGCCTGTGGTGCATAACTACGGGTAAGTAATGTTACACTTGTCCATGCTACCCTAGTGATGCGCATATCTAGACACTCCGGGTATGGCTTCTTGTCGTCGTGGGGCTCAGCGAGCATGGCCTTGGACTTGCTAGAAGGTGCTCTCGCGACGGGCGCTCCAACACATGCAGACACAGTCGTCGACCATCCATCTGGAAATCCAGGAAACTGATGTTGTGTCTCTTGCACTAGCAATGCATAGTGAGAAGTGAATGTATAGATGTATGTATGTATAAGTGTACGAAAAACAAGCAACCAATATCTGATGTATGATCAAATGCGTACTGCATGTCCTCAGACTCGGCTGAACTCCTCTGTCGTGTGTGGGTCAGAGACTGTGATGATTAATGAATTTGCCTTCCCGTTGTCGTTATCGTTCTTCGCCGCTGTAGAATTGCACCGATCCGGAAACTCGCGAATTCTTCCCACCTTCCTTCTGCAAGCAACGTTGCAAACTTTTACAGAGTATCATTTCATAGTACCCAACTCATCCTGCGCTGTTGGGTCTGTTACCTGAGCTTGAAATGCCGAGTCGATACCTATGCTCATAGCAGAAACTATAAGTCACACACAACTGCAGTCAACGTGTTCCGTCTAGGAATGCCTGCCTATCGGACGTTCCACGTGCTTTTAACACGTTCACTGCCAAAAAGGTCTTGCGTTCTATTCATCCCTTACTACTCTTGACCTTAGCTCGGAGTCATAGTACAGAACGCTTTAACCATGACTCAAGCACCGGGGAAGACATATCTCGCTACTGTTCGGACACAGGGCCACAGGCTGCTGAAAAATACGGCCACGATTTCAAAACCTGCTAGCGTGAGTGTACTTATTCCGCTAACAGCAGAGTTTTGGTGCATGTAACAGTGAGACTACTGTTACTCGCATCACACGTGTACAGCACGAAACCCATGGCCTACTGCCTCCTCGCCGTTGTTCGGTCGTTCAAGTTCGAACCAGGTTGACTGCGCAGATAAGATGGCTGGGGTCCGGACCGTATCAAGTTGGGATAAACAGTTATCACTTGGTTCAATTTCCGTTTGGATCGCAGGTGGGGTTCTATTATGAATTCTGATTGTTGTGTGCATCATCAGGGCTTCTCGGTTGTAATGTGGATACTGAGGGTAATTCCCGGTTGGGTATTAGCCTCTTTTAAAATGCATGCGGTATCTCAGGATCATTCGAAATCGCCCACCTGTAACGATACGATATGGCCATACGAGCTTCTGCTAATTCGAAGTCGCAACCAAGCGCAGATGAGACGACTCTCGCTGAGCTGGGATACAAGCAAGAGTTTCGCAGGGAGTTCACTCCACTAGAGGTGAGCCCGACGTCAGCCTGAGACTCTTTCGTGTATGCGACACAATCCAACAGCTGTACAGGTGTCTGGACTTGCGTTCAGTTATATAGGAGTGGTTCCTTCTATAGTGTGAGCCACCACTATGACACCAGCCTATTGACATCGTTCCTTTACTGATAAAAATTCATTCAGCTCCGTGCTCTTCTATGCCGTACCAAATGGTGGGCCTTTCGCCATGGTTTGGGGTGTAAGCTTTCGTCATATGTGAGGATTACTATGTTGTAAAGATCTCACTTTTTCTCTCCGCAGTGGGCGATTGCTAGCCCTTTTATCATGTGCATCGGGTTGGCGATGGCAGAGCTCGCGTCGGCAGCACCTACTTCAGGTGGTGTATGTTCTTGACGCCGCCGCCGTTTCACACTTGACTCAACAAAATCTAGCTATACTATTGGACTTACTCGCTTGCTTCCCCACGATGTCGCAATTTTCTATCGTGGATAGTTGGCTGTAAGTCCCGTATCTCGATGTGATATGCATCCCAGTCCTGACATTTGCAGATTCGAACACAATAGAGACTATCACGGGAGTCGGTAAGACAAATTTCACCTTTGAACAGCCTGCCCCTGAACGCGTTGGACTGAACGCATTGGGCTAGCTTCCGTAAATTGGGCTTGTGCGATTCAAATCACAGCAGCAATCCGTATTGCCTCCTCAGACCAGGAATACGCAACTACCACCGGGCAGCTCTAGTAAGTTTGTCCTCTTCCAGACACGATACTCTTTATATTGGTTGTCACAGCGGTATATATGCAGCTTTGGTTTTCTCACATGCCATTCTCGTGAGTTTCGGCACTAAATTTTTGGCAAGGCTGCAGAGACTATACACGTTTGTGAATATGAGGTAGGTGTTGTATGTTTGTCCATGATCATTACGTCAAATCCTCCACAGCCTCTGCTTCATAATCATTATTGCCCTTCCGATCGGAACGTCACCAGAATACCGAAATAGTGCAAGTTTTGCGCTAGGAGATTTCACAAACCGTATGTCTTGTCATCCAATTCCAATCACAGCTCACGATCAGTTGTAGTGTCCGGCTGGCCATCTGGATTCGCGTTTATCTTGAGCTTAATGGCTCCTCTTTATACAATAGGTTAGACCATCTTCTCCCAAATTGTTAGTCCATGACCATTTATCCCACCAGGGGGTTATGATGCTAGTGTCCATATGAGCGAGGAGGCCTCGAACGCCGCTACTGCGATACCATGGGCAATCGTGAGTGACACTAGAAAATGTCCAGTTGTTGCATTAACACCAGTTAGGTCAGTTCCATCGCCCTGGCAGCCGTCCTTGGTTGGGGTATGTGGAATGACATGTCACTCTGATCTTAATGACATATCTTATCCAGGAATCAACGTCTCCCTTGCCTTTTGCATGGGCACTGATGTCAGCGGCGTCTTGAATGGCCCTATAGGCCAGCCTATGGCGCAGATCTTATTCAATGCGCTCGGACAGAGAACTTCCTTGGGACTGTGGTGTCTCATTATTTCAGCGGAGTACGTTTTAGCGCCATGTGGTGCATTCATAACCTAATCATAGAACAGGTACATGGTGGCATCAAACTGCCTCTTGGTCGGCTCTCGCCAGACCTTCGCATTCGCTCGTGATGGAGCCCTCCCTTTTTCACGATATTTGTACCGGATGAATCGCTACACGGGAACACCCGTCAATACAGTCTGGTTCGGCGCCGTCTGTGTTCTGGCGATTGGACTTCTGGCATTCGTGAGTATCGAAGCCATCAATGCTGTATTCTCAATCGCTGTCACCGCATCATATGTCGCTTACATTACGCCCATCACCACCCGCTTTGCGTTCAAGAATGATTTTAAACCCGGTCCATTTACTCTCGGGAAACTGGTAAGTCGGTCGGTAGTGATGTATCCTTGAGCTAATGTACATGTGCAGAGCTTACCAGTCGCTGTGATTGCTGTGTCGTGGATGGTCTTCATGATCACTGTTTTCTTCTTTCCTGCGACCCCGCAAACAACTCCGCAACAGATGAATTATACAGTTGTGGTACTCGGAGGGACCATGTTTCTGGCAATTTCCTGGTATTATTGTCCGGTGTACGGAGGCGTGCATTGGTTCAGTGGACCCATCGCCAACATTACACCGTCCATCGGAGGTGAACAAAGAGACGGGGATTCGATGTCGGAGAAGAAGGAACAGCGTGATGGAGATCTATCTGTTTCAGTGATGGATGTATAAGTAGTGTTTGCATATCGTTGTGAAGTCGTCGGTAACATGTGTTTCAACAGATTTCGAAGGAATAATCATTCGGAATTCAAAGCCTCTTGCGCACCAGGGCTTCGTGAAATCTTCTCCGTCTTTGTTCCCTCCGTGCTTGTTGCATAATTGTGGGTGTCCCTGGGTGTGAAGTTACAGTCCATTGAACGTTGCGAAGAGGAACGCAAACCAGGGTAGGATCGCGCAGAGTGTAAGTACTACAAAACTGGACAGTTCTGATCAATATAAAGAGCGAAGGGCTCTCTGGTCTTTCACGCGTCCATTCGAAACGTGTTTCACTTGCATCGCACAAGCAAACTCGAGCACGTCCTCGCAGAGTAAGAAATTTGAATTCAGAACCGACACCATCTAATACTCGTCTTCGTACATGCACGAAAATATGGGAAACATTGTTAAGAGATAAACCGTAACGTAGATGGGAGAGACGAGTCCATAAGTAAAAAATGACGCGCGCAGTTCAGTACATACCGATAAAGAGAAAGAAAAAGAAACAAATCAAAGGAACTTGACATGGAGATGAGACTCGGGTTAGATGTGCGTGCAGGACCGCGAACGCTGGGCGGCGGCCTTCAACTTCTTGGGCGGTGAAGCTCCGGGTCGTAGGGGACAGAAGGAGGCCGATAGATTGCGGGATTCGGTCGTAGGAGACCTCGGATATCGAAGATCGCGGAGATGCTAGGCGGCGCGTAGAGATAGAGTGTGCGCGGCCGGCGGTGGCCTTCAACCTCGTGGGCAATGTTTGCCCAAGTCGTAGGGGACAGCGAAGGAGGCCGATGTGCGTCTTCGGGATGCGAGTAGTGATTAGTGTGTATAAATCGTGTTCGGGAGCGATGAGGCTGGTGATAGTATGGAAGTGAGGCCGAGTTTCACCATGGCGTCGGCCCAGCCATCGACGAGAGCCACTTGGTCGACGAGGATCTCGTCACGAAGTTGCTCAAGGTGGCCTATTTTATATGAATAAGTGATGTAGACGTCAGGAGGAATTACTTACCAATGTAAGAACGCGCGCGGGCAGCACGCAAACGGGCACGGTGCTAAGAAACTGAGATGAGCGTCGTGCTTACATGAGCGATGAATGTCATACCTGTTGTTGGCGCCGGTTGAGGATGCGCTCCGTATCGGGAGGCTTGGGCGGTGGGCTGATAGACTGCGTGGGTGTGCTTCCAGTGAGAAAGAGGGATGTTCTCGTCGTCGTCGTCGTCAATGAGGCAGGCAGTGGGAAGTCGGGGTTTGCTGTGGTCGTCCAGTGTCCGTCGGTCAGGATGAGCTGAGAATCGGAGTTGTCGACTCGGTGGGTGGCGTGTTTTGTTCCATGGAGTAAGTTGCCATCCTAAAGATTCAAAAATGAGATGATGACTCAGATGTTTAGTGGGATAGAGCTTCGTACCTCGCTTTCGTCGCCAAATGATTGTTTGAGATCCGAGGGATCGTCGTCGTCGTCGTCGGCCACCAGTGTTGTATGGGATTCCACGGAGAACCGCTTCTGTCTCGGAACTGGTGTGGTGCCAGTAAGAGGTGCACTATAGTCCGTGAAGTCCGTGGAGGGGGAAGTAGGGGGCGTGGAGGTTTCTGGCATGTTGTCGCTATAGAGTGATGGAGATTTGTCTTTGGGCTGATTGAAGTCGCCACTAAGTAGTTTCCGTGCAGTTCTGTCGGATGCAAGTAAGAGGATCGCCGTCGAGAGGCAGAGGTCCGCAGCGGCGAGGCCAATAGTGACAATAGTGACCTTTTCCGCTGAGTGAATGACCTGGGCGGCGTGGTCAACAGCAGCTTTCTTGAAGAACGACACTGTGAGGAGCCCGGTGATGGTGACGCGAGCAGTACCGTGGAAGACAGCAGAAGTATAAATCATCTTGGCAAGTGGTAATCGTGAAGAGATTGATGAAGCTCGTAAAGAAATGCGTGTACGCGTAAAACGAGGCAAGATAACGAGTATCGAAGCATAGGTTATCCGATATTTATACCCCTGGGTTATTTGCGCGTACTTGGCACGTTAAACGTTGACGCGTCAAGTCACGTGTCTGGAAAATCAATCTCTTAAATAGCGGGTGACTTGAGCCAGCTTCAGCGATACCGCCCACCCACCTTGATTGTGACCCTCGAGAGAATGAGCATGTTCTACGTTGAAGTTGTGCATGAAGAAGGCGAAGAATAGACTAGGATCATATGAGTTGATAAGATCAAGGGACACAAATAATCCTAATTGGCGTCGGACTTCCTTGATGTCTCTAACTTCCCATTCAAAAGAAATCGTTTTTCGTGGAGTGCAGAAACCGCCAGAGTATACGTTCATCCTCTCGCATTTATCTCTCCAGAGCCAACTTACACTCTCCTTGGACTTGCCCACTTAGTCGTTCTTCTGTTGTCTTCAAGTTGGCGCGGCGTGTTACGGTTCTACTCTTTTCTCCTATATTCTATTCATTTCCATCACCTTCTATCATATTCTATCGTACGATTCTCTTTCTCTTTTCTGATTGGTTCCTCATTTACAAGCTCCGCTTGAACATTCGTCTCATCCCTTATTTAAACCCTTTACTTATCGCATGTATTCCTTAACTTGACCTACGCAGACCAGGGCCTGCAGACTCTAGCTTTACTTGTGCAATCGAACTATACTTGGATCTTTGATACCAGACGTCTTTGTGACGCCGAGCGTAACAAAAGGTCAAGTTACTTCTCTACTGCGCCGTTCATTCGAACAGGCGCCCTGAACCAGCACCACGGACCCCAACGGCAAAGTACTTCCAGGATTCATCTGGAGTGACGAACGAAAAGAACACGTCCTTATCGACAGAGACGGGAAATATTGGAACTTAGCTCAGTGGAGCTCTTATTATCAAGAGAACGCACCTCCAGGACACGTCTGGAACTTTTGGACCGCATCCTACGAACCATCCCACATTCCCCCAGACGACTCAGACGACGACATGACCAAAGAAATCGGCACTCCTCCCGCGCCTTTCAATGGCGACACTAGAACCGCTCAAGGATGGGGCCTCCAACTCGACGCCTATCTTGACATGAACGAAGGTGTCTATGACACTGACAAGAAGAAGGTTATTTTTGCTCTAAGTCGTATGACGAAGGGCGAAGCAGCTAAGTGGGCCGAGGGCCACCTTAAAGCAGCCTCCGCAGCAAAGGACTACGGAACTTACTTACAGTTCGTAGAGAAATTCAAAGGGACCTTCTATCCCAAGCATTCGGCACAAACCGCCATCAGGCGTATCTCCACCCTGAAACAAACCGGCAGCGTCGCTGCCTACGCATCCCTATTCCGCACCATCATCGCCGATACTGGCATTACGGAAGAAGTCACACGCACCATGTTCTTCCGCAACGGATTAAAGCGTGAGATCTCCGCTGCAATCCTTGCATTCGAGAACACCCCCACCGACCTCGCAGGGTGGCTTGACAAAGCCCTCGAAGTCGAAGTACGTAGGACACTCATCGCGCCGCCCACATTCTCCAAAGGCCGAGACCCATACGCTATGGATATTGACAAGGCGGAGGTAGGAGAAGATGACGATGGTGAGATGACGAAGAAGACTCGGAAGACTTACCTAACGCCTCAAGAACGCGAGCGCAGGAAGAAGAACGGCCTTTGCTTCAAATGCGGCAAGAAAGGCCTCATCAAGGACTGCCCGAACCACCCCACTGTGACGGCAGCGAAGAAGACCTCCGTCAAAGACGACGACGAAGAATACCGCGAATTCCAAGAGTGGAAAGCGTTCAAAGCCCGCCAGATGAAGAAAGGTAAGGGTAAGGAGAAGAAGGAGGAAAGTAGCGACGACGAGGATTTTTAGAACGGGGATCTGCACCGGTGTCAGACACCCCTAGAATAGGGCTCTTAGTACAATCGATTGGCGACTCGAAATCCATCCGTATTCCGTTAACCATAGAATCATCTAGAACCCAGAAAACCACCGAAGCAAGCGCGCTAATCGATAGCGGCGCAGAAGGGGAGTTCATCGACTGGCAATTTGTCCGAAGAAACTCCATCAAGACTCATTTTCTCGATAAGCCCATACCCGTACGCAATGTGGATGGCACGCTCAACAAAATGGAAAAATCACACGGTACTGTAATCTATCCTTTTCTGTTCGCAATCTTCCCATGAAGACGCGTTTCCTTGTAACCTCTTTAGGAGGAGAGGACGCTATTCTAGGAATGACTTGGCTAAAGAAAGAAAACCCCGATATAGATTGGACCGCCGAAGAAGTACATCTTCACGAGCGCAGTATAGCCGCTGCTAAAACCAGCGAAGAAGACGTCTTTTATGACGCATTAGAACCAGAAGAAGAAGACGTCTTTCACGACGCAATGGAAAGTATTCCAGAAAATCCATTCTCTCATGACGACCTCCCTAATCTCCTAGATCTCGACGAAGACGACGAAGTAGTCGTGTCGGTAAGAAAAGCCGACAATATCTCTCAAACCCTCGCCCAAGACGCCGCTAAACCCAAGAAATCTTTCGAAGAACTCGTTCCACCAGAGTTCCAGAAGTATAAAGACGTATTTGGTGACGTAGCTAACGGAACTCTCCCACCAGAACGCAAATTTGATCACAAGATCGATCTCAAAGACTCCTTCGAACCGCGGAAATGCAAAATTTATCCGCTTAACGCCAAAGAAGAGAAGGCTATGAACGATTTTATTGACGAACACCTCGCCAAAGGCACTATCCGACCCTCCGAATCTCCGCAGTCATCACCCTTCTTTTTCGTCGGCAAGAAAGACGGATCTCTCCGGCCATGTCAAGACTATCGTTATCTGAACGAACACACGGTTAAGAATAATTACCCATTACCGCTGATCTCAGATTTGATAGACAAACTCAAAGACGCCCAGATCTTCACCAAGATGGATATCCGATGGGGATATAACAACGTACGTATGAAAGATTCCGACTGTTGGAAAGCGGCATTCGCCACATCCAGAGGACTCTTCGAACCATTGGTAATGTTTTTCGGCATGTGTAATTCGCCCGCCACCTTCCAGTCTATGATGAACGAACTGTTCGGAGACATGATCCAGGAAGGATGGATCATCATTTACATGGACGACATACTGATCTTCTCCAAAGACTACGAAACCCATCAGATTCGCACCCATAAGGTGCTTCAACGACTCCGCAATAACTTCCTCCACCTTAAACCCGAAAAAATGCACGTTCAACGCCAAAGAAATCGAATACCTCGGCATGATCATTAAACCCGGCTCTGTCGCCATGGACCCAGTCAAACTCAACGGTATATCCGAATGGAAGACTCCCACGAAAGTCAAGGAAGTCCGATCATTCCTCGGATTTGCTAACTTCTACCGTCGATTCATTGCTAACTATTCATCTATCGCACGACCCTTAATCGATCTAACCAAGAAAGACGAACCATTCTCATGGACCCCAGAACGCGAACACGCCTTTCTCAGGCTTAAAGAAATCTTCACGTCCTCCCCTATACTCCAAATACCCGACAAGAATCTTCCCTTCGCAATTGCAACCGACGCCTCCCTCTACGCAACTGGGGGAGTTCTCCTTCAGAAAGACTCCAACGGCAGCTGGCTCCCTTGCTCATTCCTTTCCCAATCCTTCAATTCCGCTGAACGAAACTACCAGATCTACGACCGGGAACTACTCGCAATTGTCCGCGCTTTGAAAGCGTGGCGACACTATCTTCTCGGATCCCCTTTCCCCGTTCTCGTACAAACTGACCATAAAAACCTCCAATATTTCAGAGACGTCCAAGACCTGAACCGCCGCCAAGCACGTTGGCAGACTTTCCTTTCCCAATTCGAATTACGTATCGAACATGTACCGGGTAAAGATCTCATCATACCCGACTTATTATCTCGTAGAGCGGATCACCTTCCGGACGATAGTGTCGAAAAGGACAATCTTCAGATTCAACTCCTCCCCGATTCGTTATTCATTAACACCATTGACACTTCTTTTACGGACAGATTACGTATCTCATCATCGGTTGACCCGGTGGTACATACCGCGCTACAAGCGCTCACAGATCCCACCATTCCCCCTCCTCTTCGTTCGGCTCTTTCCGACTGGAAATTGAGCGACGGCATTCTTACGTATAAAGGACTCACTTATATATCTCCAGGCGACCTTCGTCGCGAAATCACTTCCCTTCATCATGACTCCCCTACCGCCGGCCATCCAGGTCGCTTCAAGACCCAAGAACTCCTCTCTCGCGACTTCTGGTGGCCCGGTCTCTCTACCTTCGTCAAGAACTACGGCGACGGCTGTAGCATCTGCCAACAGAACAAAGTAAACACGCACCCGTCCTCTCCCCCTCTCCAACCGATTCCCGCTCCCCTCTCCAACCGCCCTTTCGCTCAGGTCTCGGTCGACCTCATCACCGATCTTCCACCATCCGATGGCTTTGACAGCATCATGGTCACGGTGGACCATGGCCTTTCGAAGGGGGTAATTTTCACCCCTTGTACCAAGACGATCGACGCTGAAGGCGTCGCGAACATTTTCTTTTCCAAAGTTTTCTCTAGATACGGACTTTACGATAAGATTATCTCTGACCGCGGACCTCAGTTCGCCTCTAGATTCCAGATCGAACTCGGAAGACTCCTCGGATACAAGAACTCCCTTTCCACTGCGTTTCATCCCCAGAGTGATGGAGAGACCGAACGAGTTAACCAAGAGCTCGAAGTCTACCTCCGGATCTTTTGCGGTAATGACCAAACCGGTTGGGCCGCCATGCTTCCCTTAGCAGAATTCGTCCACAACTCCCGTCATCATTCCGCTCGCGGAACCTCCCCTTTCTACCTCATGATGGGTTACCACCTGAAACACCTCCCAGACGTTCATCCTAAATCCGACATCCCTAACATCGAACAACGTCTATTCATGCTCAACAAAGCACGCGATGAAGCGCTAGCCGCTCACGAACTCGCACGAAACACC